AATGTAATCCATGCATATCCATTTTCATGATCGTGTCACATTTGCGTTGCTGCCATGTTAATGGACCAACACAACAAAAAACTTAAACTGATGATTGAAATCTATATTTGTATATTCTATCAGTTATGTATAAATTGTTCCGATATCTAATCTAATTAAATATATAGATCGATTAAACCTAAATATATATTCACATTATAATTAATTTTATAAATCAAGTGGCACGACATATCGAATGACATCCAAGGGGCACTGCACCATGCATCTTTCAAATCTCCACATGTTGAATGACTCGACTTTATTTACCATACCCAAATGCCAAAAGTTATTTTAGGTACGCTTAATTACTGTATCCAAAAGTCGAATAAAACAATAATATAAGTATATAAAAGCATAGCATGTACTTCGTAACATTGTGCTTTTTGGATGGTAATAATATAGAGAGTAGGCAATTATATATGCTAAACCGTTCCCCATGATCGAATTTCCAATGGATTAACTTTGATCCAGTCATATTCTAGTAATAATTTTATATTATATGAGTTATATTATATGTTGGAGAAATTATATACGTAATATAAGTATATAACATAATTGACACTTGCATTTTTGTATATTAATTCGATTGTTACAAGAGTCGAAAGTCTCTAGACACACAGGTTTCTCGTCCGACCATGGGATAGTGCATTAGTTGGGATTTGGCAAATCAGCTTCATTCAATTCATATACTATTCATGCATGCATCATCATGTAGTATATTTTTATGATACAATAATATTACAACATATTGAGATTTGTCTTCTCTCGGCCAAGTAAACCTAATTATTTATCTAAGAATATAAATAAGATTATCTATGTAACAATATTAATTTCAAAGTAGAGTATATATAATTTAACTACGAAAAATTTGGTATTATATATTGTATTGATAGAGAATATATATTCACAGAATGGTAATCATGTATGAAGAGTTTTATGACAGAGGTATTACAGTGAAAATTTTAAGGTGCAGGCAGTTGTACTTGGTATAGTCAAAAAAAGCAATAAGAACATGTAACTATTTTGTAAATAACATCTTTTTTTTTGTAAAGAACATAATATTGTTTTGTAATGAACATCTGTAACATTAATAAAGAAAATGATAATATTATGTAATAAACATTATCTATATATAGCCACCATAATTTGAAGATAAAATTCAATAAACATTTCACAATAAGCAATGAACATTATGTCGCAAATAAAAGTGCATTACACTGACAATCAATTAAAGAACATATTTTCATTTTTTTTTTGGAAATTTTGTGAAAAACTACCTATTATAGTCCAGAATTTGCGAGAAACTACCTATTAAAAAAAATGTTGTAATTGACTACCTAATTTTCGAAAAATGTTGTAATTTACTACCTTACGCCGGATTATGAAGGAGTTTGACCAAAGTTCTCCGGTGTTGACTTGGTCACGTGACCATCACGTGACACTTAATGACCCTTTTCTTTCACAAGTGTCACGTGACCAAGTCAACGCCGGAGAATTTTGGTCAAACTCATTCATAATCCGGCGTAAAGGTAGTAAATTACAACATTTTTAAAAAATTAGGTAGTCAATTACAACATTTTTTTTAATAGGTAGTTTTCCGCAAATTCTGGATTATAATAGGTAGTTTTTCACAAAATTTCCTTTTTTTTTGGGTGCAAATTTGTTCTTTTCACTTTAAGTATATGTTCATTATTGCATTTTGATAGTATGATATTTTCACTCTATGTATATGTTCATTACATTTGAATAGTATGTTTTTTTACAATAATTATATGTTATTACATTTATATATCATGTTCTTTCCTACAAAACAACTGTACATTACATTGTACAAGCGCCTGTAAGAACCAACTATTGAACACAGTATGTACGCTGACTAACTCGATCGACCCTAAGATATGGGGCTATAAGCTCACAATAGACATGACATAGGTTGATAGTGTACCTTAATTACATGACTTCATTAGACACCCAATATCTAAAATAAGATTGAGTTAGTTCAATTCCAAAGGGTACAAGGACTTTGACAAGTCATGTAAGCAAAGTTACAAATGTTCCAAGTCTACCAATTCAATCCCATTAAATAGCTACCAATATACTACTTCCTCAGTTTTCTTTTACTTGCAACACTTCCCTAAAAAGGAAATGTCACAATACTTGCAATACACTATAAAAGGAAAGTTACTTGGAAAATCTATACTTTTTCCCTTAATTAAAGCACATGACCCACTAAATTACACTCCTAACAACCACTCATCCCATTTTAAAGTGTATTATATCATGTGAACCCCATATTTCTTAAATACCGTGAAAAAGTGTGTGTTGCATCTAAAAGAAAACGGAGGAAGTATATATTAATATATACCATGCTGTCCAATTGTCCATGCATATATGGCCCCCCTCTTTCTTTTTAATTACTACTGTCGAAGATAGTAAAACAAATATAAACAGTAAGTAGTATTGTCAATTGTCATACTAGTTGATTTGCAATGCCCTCGATAGGAGGGAATAAAAATTATTTAAAGTTAATGGTTATGTTTTTCCACATAATTTAATTATTGAAAGTAATTTGGGAAGTTAAGATTGCAATTTGTAGCAGTAAAACTCCTGCAGCAATTAGTATGACATTTTACCAAGCTTAGGTCTAGACTCTCTAGAGTACGTTATAGACTTATTTTTCATTTGCATATACTTGTATCTTATATTCCTAATATTTCCAAATTCTTGTTGTGACATTGGTACCACATACGATATAAGTAGAGAAATAAACATATTTAAGTAACTCTTGAGTCCAGACTAATGATCGATCGTTACATCAATACAGCTAGATGTACTACTACTAATTACAAATAAATTACCTAATTAAATTGAAAATGCCGAATTAAAACCTGGGATTACGAGTAAGCAAGTAAATTTGTGTTGCAAGAACAGCTGATTTCCGTCCATTAGCAAAATCCGTACACATGAATATAAAAATATTATCTAGTACACTGTATGACCCACAATAATGGTTAATTGATAAAATTTCATCAATCAAGTTGATTGCCTGGGGCTGTCTGACCTGTCTCTATTTAAGTAACTCTTGACTCCAAACTAATGATTTATCATTAACACCAATACAGTCAGATGTACCAAGTGCATGAACAAGAATCAATTAACATATCGGGATCAAATGATCTTGAATTTATCATGTCAAAATCAATATGTTGTGCCAGCCAAAATTTAACTTCTTCATGAAAACGGAGTTTGCTAGTCGCTAAAATTAATGATACATTGATATGAAAAAAAAAAAAAAAAAAAAAAAAAGTAATTGGAAGACAAGAGACTCCTCGTACCATGATTCATGGATTGGTGTGGGCCAATGGTATAATGGGTGTTTAGCAGAGAGGAGACATAGTGATAGGGAAAAATATGATTATAAAGAAGAAGCAACTACTATTGTGTTTTAACCAAGCTAAGCTACTTCACCTTATTTGTCATTTAGGCTACAATTTTTCTGTTCATCGACTTGCAATTTGCAATGTGCCAAATTTCATACTTATTGTCCATCATAACCATGCCCCACTCATTTCGATTTTTATTAGCCTCAACTTTCAAGTGACTAATAATATATTAATGTCATTTTATTACCTAATTAATACAATAATAATAATATATACAAGTACATATATTTTAAAAAATTCAATTCTATAATTATGACCTTTGATTTTAATTCATATGTATATTCACTCCAATTTTACCCATTCACCAAAATTGAAATTCAATTAGTCAGAATTTGAAGTACTGTAAGCAATTTTCGTTCGTTCATATCATTATGCGTATTGTATGTAGCACAATTGTACAACATACTTAGTCTATTAACATTATATTTCAAGTTTCATGTATGACATATTATATTTAATGTACGAGTACATGTCAAATCGTATAAGGTTATGAAATCTTATTGATCAAAAAATAAGGCACATCCTATGTTATTATATGCTTGTATAATGCACCCTAATCACCAAATAAGATAGTCCTAGTAAGGGAAGGATGGCAATCATGGCATGCATGGAGTCATGTAAGTGGCACGTACCGCCTTCAACCGATGGGATTAAGTCACAAATGTCGATGGAAGTGCCATCCTCAGTACAATCGATTTGCAACCCTTATTGAGCCTTCGCGTTGTAGTAACACAGAATTACATAGTATACATCATAATCAAGAAGAGTATACGATTGTTTATTTTGCTCTCATCATAAACTCGTATATCTAAATAGCATTTGGTATGCGTGAAGATGTTTGAAATTCTCAAGCTAAGCAGCATATATATACTCGGTATATCATACGGAGTATTGTACACTGAATCAAAGGGAAGCTGAAATAGATGGTGAAGAAGTTATAATGAAGTATTTAAATGTTCTAATATTATTAATATCCCTTTGAAATGGTTTTTGGCAAAGGTTATTACGTTTTTAACTTATTCTAGTTCAAAGGGTTGTAATTGGGCCTACAAAGGGTTAGACAAGAAGCCATTTTGCTTGTTAAAAGGTGTTGGGCTATCTTGGGCCATAATCAATATGCAGCTCCAAAACTTTGGGCTGGTCCATCATTCATAAATAGACAACAAATTTACGGATCATAAGCTCATAAGGCCCATTTCCAACAAGCAAGGAAAAAAAGTTCCAAATACTATGTGATCTTTTGATGTTGGAAAAAGATATACTATGGACTATAAACGATTTTGGAGGGATTAATACATAAATCTTCAAGCAACCCTAGTGTTTTAGAATAAAAATGTAACATAAGTATATTGAATAAAATCTTAAATTATGATCATAGTGCTTTACAATAAACTTATAGCATATTTATATTGACTAAAAACTTAAATTTATGATCATTATATAGCATATACTTATTAGAAGTTAAAACATTGATACTTGTAAGTACTCCGTATTAAGTTTTAATAAATCGTCAAATTAGTTTTTAATTAATTGATTCAAATAATTGATATCATTTGAGCCAACTCAAACATTAAAGCAATAAATTAAAGATCAAATTTCCCTAAACTCTTTATATGACAACGCTTAGATGATTCTAATGTGCAAGACCTTTACCTCTATCAATATTTGATCAATAATGAGATTAATAACCCAAAAAATACTATAAAAATTTGTGTATATTCACCTTCCAACCACAAAAAAAATAAAATAAAATAATACGGAGTATACACGTGGGGCAATTCTACCTGAAAAATCCTATAGCAAATCAGAAAATATCCAGTCATTCTTCAATCTTTCTTCTAAAAAGATGAAGAACCGGTGGTCGAGAGCTGAGGCACCCAAATTTTGTCCATTTTCTGCTCATTTTAATTTAACACTACCAATATTATTTCCCTTTTACTCTTTTGCTTGCTAATTTCTATAAACTTGTATGATTTCAACTTAAATGGGATCAAAAAGAACATATTTTTATTGAATTTTGATGGGTTTAGGCTGCAAATTGAATATGATGAGATGTGTTCTTCCTTCACTTCGTTCTCCTTTCACCATCAATTCATCCCCTCCTTGTTGTTCTACTTCATGTAAGTTTTTTCCCCTTTTAATTTTAGCTTTTCTTGATTAAATTTTGATATATGGTACAAAACTACAAATTATTGAATTGTAATGTTATTTATTGCAGTTAATTTTTGTGGGTTTGATGTTTAAGTATGCAAAATTGCTTGAATTCAACCTGAATTGCTTGAATTGAGCTAGCATTTTGGAGGGGTTGATATTTGATAACATAATCTATACAATTGGCTTGAAGTGATTTACTTCCTGAATTTAATACTTGTATGATATACAACACAAATTGCTTGAATTGAACTATGATTTCTTTATTTGATAGTAGAATGAATTCAAGAACTTTAGTTGGGATTGTGAAGATGTATGTAGGTTTTGAAAATTCTATGTGTATGGTATATGGTTGCATCACTTGGGTGTAATGTAAGCACTTATAGATCAATATGGAATTAGGGATGTGATGAATTCATTGTCGAGATTTGTGTATAATGTCGCATTTAGGTGGTATTGGCGCATTGTGTTATTTCCCTAACTTGATGAAGGGTTTTTAAGAAGGCGTGGAGAAAGGGGGAAGGTTGGCTTAGGTTATCTGGGCATGCAATTTGCATTATTCACTAATCTTGGCGATAATTTAGTCTTCCTCGTAGAATTATTAACCTAGGCTGTTATAATGATTTACCAAAGTGATGATTGAGAACCGTGATTCTTGTTACTATGGATATATGGCAGACAATGCCATAATCTGTTAGCTTTAAGGCCTTTAACGAATATTCATTGATTGTAGGTAGTTGCTCGATTGGGTTTTGTGTAAGGTAACATGTAACAAATATGTCTTTATTATTGTTGTTCTGTGTGTTCTTGAATTGGATTTGTAGTTTTTTGGCAGCAAACGTATCTTATGAAACCCAAAATCACAATCATGTATAGTGTAATGCTTCTAAATTCAGCTATTTAAAATTTGGAGGATTGAATCCATATTTCTTCTTTGAATAGGTAATTATCGAATACAAGTATTAGAGGTTTGACTAACTCAAACTTCGGGTTTAGAAACTATTCAATCCTTCTATCTTTGCCCAAACCTGTCTTTATCTAGAAAGGCCTAGATTTGCTGCTATTATGTTTACTCTTTGAGGAGTAAAGGTCACTTCCATAGTTCTATCCAAGCTATCTGAAAACGAATGCCCATTTCCAGGGTGTAGAGAAAATGATTTTGATGACTTGTATTTATACATACTGTTCAGGGCTTCTGTTTTTTTTTGTTTTTTTAATTTATTTTTTTGTTTATTTATTTATTTTTAATCAAAATGCATTTTCCGGTCCTTTCTAACCTCCTCATGGACAAGGTTTCTGAATAATTGTGAATTTTCTGGTACTCCCTTGCTTAACCCTTAATAAACTTGCCCAATTCATCTGCATTATTGCTTTGCCCAACGCCATTTTATCTTTTGAAACCTGTACATTGTTTTAATCATCAATTCTATTCCAAGATCGATATACATCTTTTTTGAGATAAAGGAAGTATCATACATGTTAGACCTTACCCAATGCCGAAGTATCTTTTTAAAGTTACACATTTTGAAGATCAAAAATTTATTTTCTTTTTGAGATGAAGGGAGTAATGGAGTATCAATGTATCATACATGTTAGACTAGGTGTGCTTTAGTTCCTCCTAATTGTGTACTGTAGAATAATCTCTTATTTTGGAACCTGCAGTTCGAGGTAAAGAGCTTGATTTTGGCTCAGCAAGGCTGTCTCTCTTGACATTTGGCTTTGATGAAAGTGAAAGTCTGCGTAAAGACACATCAAGACCACATGCAAGTTCTTCGTTACCACAAACTGCTGAGAATGACTACTCAAACTTGGAGGTAAAGAGGTGTATAATTAACTCTATTTTACTGTATCTGGAGCAATACCGAGTGTGTAATCCAATCTTTCGTTTATTTCAGACGACTATCAGTAAAAGACCCTGCAAAGGTTTGCAAAATACTCTAGTACTACCAGAAGGAGACACCTCTATGTATGTTCGAAGTGTACAAGCCTGCAGTGCCTCACATTTTCATGTACTAATGGAAAATATCAATGTACTTGAGAATAAAGTTTCTGATTCTGAGTTATTGAAGCTTGAAAGAGATATTCTAGTTCAATTAGGAAGGCTGGGAGCACTGCAGCTGTTTCATGCATGTTTATCTAGGACTGTTGATATGTTAGACTTACCCGATCAGATCACTGTAGATAACCAAGTAAATGTTAGAAAAGATAATGTTTTGAAAAAAAATGTGGTTTTTTCAAAGAGGAAGGAAGAAAGAAAATCAAGGCAACAGAGGAGGTTACAAGCTACCAGTAAAAAATGTGCTTGTAGATCAGAAATTTCCATTGAAAATTCAATGCATCATGTAGTTTCTTCTGCGGCAAAGAAGACCACGGCGAGAAGCAGAAGAGCAGTAATTGCCAAAAATGAAGCAGAAATGTCAAGGGGAATAAAGGTTATCCTTGTTGATGTTTTTATTTTTTATTTTTATTATCATTAATCTATTTTGGTGCTTAGCAATTTAGCATACTCTAGGCTGGTTACTTATAATTACCCCTCACTGTTTAAGGTAGTTGCGCAACTAGAAAAGATGAAATCAACCTTGGAAAAGGAATCTGGAAAGGTAGTGAGCTTAAAATGCTGGGCTGAAGCAGCTGGTATTGATGAAAAGGTGTTGCAGCATGATTTGCACTTTGGTTGGTATTGCAGGGACGAACTTCTTAAAAGTGGTCGCTCCTTGGTATTGTACCTTGCGAGATACTATCGAGGACTAGGAATTGCTCATGAAGATTTGATGCAGGTGATTTATTTTTTGCCTATCTGTTAAGACAATGTATCCTTTCTTTCCTATCCTTTACAAGAAGTCAAGCTGAACACACTGTTGAGACTTGAAAATGTTTGCTAATTTGCTATAGTGGTGAAAATATCATCATGAACTTCTTATATTCAAATGACAAATGAGGAACATTAAATTCGACTTTGGGGAGTATCAATTGCTTAGTCAACCTTGTCTTCTGATGCTGCATCGTGGCATCTGTTTCTGGTATCTTAACGTCATTAGTTTGTAATTACTCATAGTTTGTCGTATGCTGCTATACCCAATAGAAACCTGTATGCAAGACTAATTAGAATTGTTAATCTTCATTGGCTTCAAATATATATTGGATATACACTGAAGATGACTTCTCTGGGCTGGACTAACATTTCATATCTAGCTCTTTTTTATATTGACTCTATATATCCTGCTTTCAAAGAAGATAATTGTTCTACTAGATGGGATGAAATTGACGTCAAAATAACATATCCATGCTACTTTATTGCTTTCTGAGCTTATGTGTTGCTTTCCCTGAAAATAATTGCTTGTTACTAATCTTGACACAGGCAGGGAACGTTGGAATATTGCAAGGTGCTGAAAGGTTTGACCACACAAGGGGTTATCAATTCTCTACATATGTCCAGTACTGGATCAGAAAAGCGATGTCTCAATTGGTATCTCGGCATGGAAGAGGGATAAAAGTTCCAGTATGTACCTGAATATTATGGCTATTTGTTTTTCTGCAAACTTGTTCTTGAGTATTTATATCATGGATATCCATTTTTCATGTAGGCGACATTGAGCACTACAATAAGCCGCATACAAAAGGCTCGAAAGACCCTAAAAAGAAGTCAGGGTAAACACCCTGATGACGTTGAAGTTTCAAAAGTCACCGGTCTTTCCTTGGATAAAATTAAGTCTGCTGATAAGTGCTTGCGAATTGTGGGTTCATTGGATTCAAAAGTTGGAGATATAAATATTAAATATTTGGTAAGACAGTGCACCTCACTTCTTTATCATGAACAAATCTGTGTCTTATTTGACTTGTGTTTCCTTATACAAGCCACCTATATGAATTGAAATTGTGTCAAGTTCCATGAATCTGAGAGTTTAAAACACTTTTTTTAAATTTTTTGTGTGATTGATTAAGGTATACAACTTTCCTTTTCACAATTGCAATGATTGATGGGAAACATTGCTTTAGGCTGTACCTATTGCATTATTTTTTTTTTTTGTTTCCTCTTTTTCTGCCAGGAAATGGCCCTATGCTCTAGCTTATTTTGGTTTCGTGTTTTTGTACTCTGTAGTTATTTTTATACGACAATGAAGTTTGATGCAGGAAATCATCCTAAGAGTCACATCAAAGTCTTGTTTTCTTAATACCTTTTTTTTTGGGTTATGTTGTCATGTAAAAGAGAATATAATTTCATTTGGCTTCTGTGACACAGGAATGCACTCCAGATACCTCACTAGAGATGCCGGAAAAAACTGTAATGAAGCAGCATATGAAAAACGACGTACATAAACTCCTTAAAGAGCTTGATCCAAAAGAGAGACGAGTTTTGATCCTTAGGTATGGATTGGAAGGTCATTGTATGTCACTTCATGAGGTCGGAAAGATTTTCAACGTAAGCAAAGAATGGATAAGAAAAATGGAAAAGAGGGCTTTCAATAAGCTAAAGAACGAAGAGAACCGAAGAAATCTAAAGCATTACATAGATCTGTAGTCTAAGATAACTCCATTTAAAACAAAACTCGAAAAAAATCAGATGCCTTTGTAATTTTCATCCCATGTATCTTGTTGTACACAAAATCCTTTGTATAGAAGCATATAGATTATTCTGTCACATTACCTAAATTTCCTTCTTTTGGTCTAGTGTAATAAATATACACTCTTTTTGACGAAGAAATGTGCATATAGAGTATACTACACTTCTCGTCAGATACTCAGATTGTTTACTGCAAGCAAAATCTTTGGGGAGCATTAATAAAGTCATTTCAAAGAGCACTCGCTATATTTGTTAACATGATTTCGAGGTCTCATGTTAACAATTTTTTACGTAGTATTAAACGTGTCAAAACATTGACCTTTTATTTGATCATTTAAATTGAATTAGCTCATTCAGTATTACAAATGAAATTAGATAACCATATTGTGACACAAATAAAAATTGATCAGAATCAATTCAATACGATTTCAAAATTAACATGACTAATATGACTAAGTAGGTTTTTCCATAACAATTTCTTCACAATATTATTAGTAGATTTGACCCGAGCTAACAGAATCAAGGCATTTGTCTAATCGCTCGTATATGACCTGAATCAAAATACATCAAATCAAACCCGAACCAAGCGAAATGATTCCAAATATGTGTAAGAGAAGAATATTTGTCAGAAATCAAACATGAAGAGGGTCTCATGAATCATGATATAGGGCATGTTCGGCAAAATGTAGCTGTGAAGGTAGTTGTAGTTGTGGAGATAGCTGTGAGCTGTGGAGATAGCTGTTAGCTGTCAACAAGTTGTTAGCTGTAAAAAAAGATAATTTAGGTATGATTGTTCGGTAAAGTAGTGGTTGACTAGCTGTTACATTTAAGAATCAATATTTTATTTTTAAAACTATACATTAAATTTTCAAAAGCTACTTCAAAAGTTACCTCTAACTTCAAAAGCTAATAATCCTAGCTTTTAATAAAAGCTACCTCCACCACTAAAAGCTACTTGAACCATTACTTTGCCAAACACTCACATTTTTTGTTGAGTAGTGGTTTGACTTGGTCAAATCACTAAAAGCTACTCAAAAGCTAGCGCTAAACACGTCCATAAACTAGTCGACATCATCCATGATGAAAATTGGAACAAGAATAATTTTTTGTAATTTCCTATTTGGTGTGACAAGGAGAGGATACTAATTCTATACTCTTGTTTTTATGCACTTAGCTTGACATGTATGTATCCTTCTCCTTTTTAGCCTAAAGTTTAATCTTCCTTTTCATTAAGCAACAATATTTATCCTAATGAGTAAACTATACTACTCTGTATATTTTTCCCTCGTTCTTTTTTGTTTGTTAAGCTTAGACTTTTATAATCAGCTTTTTAAAACTTTTTTTTCTGAAAAAAATACTACCAATTTTTATAATAAACCTACAAAACATGTCATGCAATAGCAAATCCGATACCAAGCTAAGGTTGGTCTACTGGGAATGATTGCACCTTCAACCTTGAGGTTGGGGGTTCAACCCCCACTAGAGACACTTTGAAGCTGGGGATTCTTTACCCATCCTCCCTCACTCTCAAAGTGTCTGACCCGCAAATACCGAACCAAATATATCGTGAGGGTTGAGGTTCGCTCAGTGTCATTCTTACTGTAAAAAAATTAATAAATAAATAAATAATAGCAAATTTTATTTAAAATGTATTTTTCTAATATCAACTTTTTATAATATTTAGTCACGTATAATTGTACGTATTCATGGACAAATATACATATTAAAGGCTACAAAATCACCAGAGACACTTTGGGGTGAGGGATTTCCTTACAATTATCCATCCCGTACTTTCATAGTATCTAACCCATTAACTCAAGTCGGGAAGACCTGTAAGAAGTTCCTATCCGACCTACTACTCTACTAGGACCCTTCTCCTTACCAATAATAAAAAAAAAAGGTATGAGACTGTACTATAAAGAAAAAAACAGGAGTACTAAAATTAGTACTATGATTTTCCGTAAAATAACATTAAGAGCTTTATCAAAATGATTCTTGGAAATTGTCCATTATCACATATTATATGCTTTTCTTTTCGAAATTGGCTCAATATTTCAAAGGGATCAGATTTTGAAATAATACATGGCAATTGTTTAGAGTAATTAGAAATGAGTTTGATGCTGATTTTTGTGCGTAGTTTTAGTTGCGTTTGCCGCATTCTTACCGCTAATTTGTTGAGATTTTGTAGTCATTTATGAGTTGCTTTATTATTTTAACATTTTTATGCTACGTGCACTTATGATCCTCCACTTCTATGATTGCTTGTGTTCATGCTTATATCTCATTTCTCATGTGATGTTGTAATACAATTTGGATTGGTTTATTTTGACACCTGTTGATCAAGTCGACGTTTGCAAGACCTCAAGTTGGAAACTCTTTCTTATTTTAGGAATCACGTTAAATATGAAAATGTTACTTCTTTTGGTCTGAATGAGATATAAGTGCATTTCAGATTACAAATAGGAAATAAGTGGTTTGAATAAGTTACTTATAATAGGCCGTATATCTATATTTCAGTGGTGTTACAAAAGTACTTTGTAACCGTACGTGTGTACAATCAAAACTATAAAAGAATTTAACATACAACATCATATGAGAGAAATTTCATGTGATTATACCTATTTAATGAAATAATTAAAATCATCCGATTCAAAAAAAAAAAAAAAAAAAAAAAAAAAAAAAAAAAAAAAAAAACTCTATAATAACCTTTAAGTTGATGTGTAATGGTCTAAATACTTTGTATAATAGTGATAAACTATCATCATAAGCTCCTTCATCTTGTACTTGGCACCAACTCATCCACTAATTTCACTATATTTTATCAAGTCAAAACATAATTTGAACTAATCAAACCATTCATTTGATTTAGTACACATGTTGAATATCGGAATATAGCAAGAAAAATATCATTAGATTGATCCATACACTTACTTATCATATAAAAATCCTAAATAGGATAATAATTTGTAAAACATATATAGATTCCAACTTCAATTAGTTTCAACCCAGTATATATAACTCCTTTAAACCTTGAATTCGGGTCCTAAATATTTGCACACCTATTATTAAACTAATTATCATCCCTATTGGTTTATCACCATATGCCACCTTTACCAATAGGAACCTTTGTCCCTATACAATCTATAACCATAATCCAACTTTGTATACCTATTAATTACCCTAAGTCCCTAAAGCAAATAGATGAAAGTTTCATAATTTATGTTGTGAAAAAGATGCAGTGAGCATTTGTTGTGTTTTGAGAAAATTAAATTGAGTGCACATTATAAATAAATCTACATTGCCCATTACGCGCATCACACTTCACACCAACATATGGAGTAATTACTACAATAGTTATGTTTAAAATCAACAATATTTGAAACATGACCCAAAAAGCATTTAATTCATATATTAACACCGTAACAATCAACTGCAACATAATTAATACTCCGTACTTCGCATGAAAAAAGCATTGTTATCCTAAACTATTATAACTAAACCAATTTATTTATGATAATGATATGAATTATGTATAGTGTAATTAATAAATTAGACAAACTAATAAATTGTGCTCCATATCAAAGATTATGACTTATAATAATAAAAACATAAAAATATATATGTACGGAGCAGTTTACACGAGCTTTTTTTGAAGATGAATTTGCCTTTATGCTCTTTCAAAATATTGTAAAAAAACGATATTGACAATTAAAAATGATACTCCCTGATTGTGAATATCTGATACACTTTGACTTTTAAGTTTTAACCATATATATATTGCTAATACATGAAATAAAATGCTAATCACTAAATAAAATTCAACGAAAATCTTATTATATATATATTAGATGAAGCCCGTGTAATGCACGGTTTGTTTGAATTTTTTAAAATAATATATATAGTTTTTTTGGTGCAACAGGCCACACCGTGTGGCCTGCTGCCAAGTCAATAAAAATAACGGATTATGTGCATATAACGGGGTTACTATTCACTCGCATAACGGGGTTAATGGTTTTGTCAGTGTTACTTGTATTTTTTTAGGGGTTACTACTTGTTTTTTTTTTTCAGGGGTTACTTGTATTTTTTTTTTCAGGGGTTACTTGTATGGATTACTTATTCAGGGGTTACTTGTATTTTTTTTTCACGGGTTACTTGTATGGATTACTTATTCTTGAGTTACTTGTATTTTTTTTTTTTTCAGGGGTTACTTGTATGGATTACTTATTCAGGAGTTACTTGTATTTTTTTTTTCAGGGGTTACTTGTATGGATTACTTATTCAAGGGTTACTTGTATTTTTTTTTTCAGGGGTTACTTGTATGGATTACTTATTCAGGGGTTACTTGTATTTTTTTTTTCAGGGGTTACTTGTATTTTTTTTAAGGGGTTACTTGTATTTTTTTTTTCAGGGGTTGATCGTATGAATTACTTATTTAGGGGTTACTTGTATTTTTTTTCAGGGGTTACTTGTATGGATTACTTATTCACAGATTATTTGTAATTTTTTTTTCAAGAGTTACTTGTATTTTTTTTCAGGGGTTAGTTGTATTTTTTTTTTCAAGATTTACTTGTATTTTTTTAAAGGGGTTACTTGTATTTTTTTCAGGGGTTACTTGTATGGGTTAATTCAAGGGTTACTTGTATGAGTTACTTATTCAAGGGTTACTTGTACGAGTTACTTATTCATGGGTTACTTATATGAGTTACTTCAAGGTCACTTGTATGAATTACTTATTCAATGGTTACTTGTTGCTTATTCAAGGGTTGCTTGTAAGCCCCATACTGCAAACCAGTAATACCCTACAAGTAACCCTTGAGCAAAACTAGTAACACCCTACGAGTTACCCTTGACCAAAACCAGTAACACCCTACAAGTAACCCCTGGCCAAACTAGTAACACCCTTACCAAACCAATAACACCCTACATGTAACCCCTGACCAAACCAGTAACATCCTACAAATACCCCTGACCAAACTAGTAACACCCTACAATTTTTGACGTAGAATGTTCGATCTAAGATTCTACGAAGAAAACGAGCTTACATTTCTTTGGTTCTCATCGATTTCACTACTTCAAATATTGTTGATGATTTTAAGGATAATTAATCACAATTTTTCACAGCAATTTGACACCTAATTTCTACAATTTCGGACTTTAATTACAGCAATTTGGCAAAGAGGAGAGAGAAAATGGGTGGAGTAGAGATATGGTTGTTGGTGATGTGTGGTTTGGCTTGAAGAAGAAGCTAAGAAAAGAGGAGAGAGAAAATGGGTGGAGTAGAGATATAATTGTTGATGATGTATGGTTTGACTTGGAGAAGAAGATAAGAAAAGAAGAGACAGAAGAGTTTGATATTTTTTTTAAAAAAAAACTAATAAAATTGTGGTAGGCCACACGGTGTGGCTAGCCACATACAAAAATTTGTGATATATATATATATATATATATGCTAAAATTTGTTATATATTTAGATAAAATTTCTAATATCAAAAGATAATATTTTATATTTAATTAATTTAAAATGGGAAATCTCATTCACGAATTTTGCGAATGTGTCATTTAAATTATTTAATTCTAAAAGAAATTAACAATCTCGTATTTAATTGGCTACCACTAAAATTTATTATCCTAGCTGTCGTGCTGAGAAAATTAAATCCTACGTGGCTCTCTAAAAACTTTAGAAAAAACTCCAAAAAAAATCTAATACTTCGTATCACCTGCAAAACTTTATTGAATAATTTGAATGATATTCACTTTTTATTTTTTTTTTCTTTTTTACACTCATTACAATTCATGAAACATATGATGAGTTGAGTTTCATTTAAGGTAATCCATGATATGTAATTTTTTGGTATTACAATTTACTTATACGTGCTTTAAAAATATACTTATACTTCCTCTGTCCCATAATATAGTTCCTGTTCTTCTATTTCTAAAAGTCAAAATGTTGTTTTTGTTTTTAAATAATATATAAAGACCATTATACTCTCACTTTTTTAACTTTATTCAATCTACTTTCTACATTACCCTTGAATTTTGCACATGCTTCCTATTTTACAAAGTCAAAATTTTGTTTTTTTTTTTTTTTTTTTTCTATTTTTTGGATAATATATAAAAACCAATATCATAATTAATCGTAATAAATTTCTTGTTAAGTAGTTGCATTTAAATCACGAGTAAATTTAATTTAATTTCATCGTTAATTTATTTGGGTAATGATTCTTTCTATCTGGCTAAGCTGTTTACAGTTTTTCAAACCAATTCCACTGTATTCTTTTCTTCAAGTGAAAATTAACTGTCTTAAAAAACCACCTTCTTCTCTTTCTCTCTCCTCTTACCACTGTTAACACAGAGAGCAGATTTCACACCATTTCTAGGGTTTTTTCTGGATGCTCTCTCTTCTCTAAACTCAATCTTCAATTTCCCCCAAATTTCTACCCTAATTCATCACTTTTCCATGTTCTTGAATTCGCCAATTTCGCTAATTTTGATGAAGCAGAACAAGTTTTTGATTCGATTCGGTTTGATTTTGTCCTCTCATCTGTTACTGTAATGGCGAATTTCAGTTCCTCGATGATATTATTCTCTCTCTTCTTATTGTTCTTAAACCCTAGATATATGTTAAATAGTAGTGTTATTGAATCAAGTTTAGCTTAATCTGTTGTTGTGTTTACTGTAATGTTGAGTTTCCGTTGTTCAATGATTCCACTTTTACTGCTGTTGTTCTTAAACCCTGGATTTCTCTCTCCAAATGCTTATGCTTCATCGTTCTTGGATGATGGTGGTGGTGGTGTTGATGATGTTGAATTGAGTATGCTGTTTTCTCATCATGATTATTCGCCGCCATCGCCGCCGCCTCCTCCGCCTCATCCACCGACTGTATCGTGTGAGGGAGATCTAGATGGTGTTGGTTCTTTGGATACCACTTGTCAAATTGTATCGGATTTGAATCTTACTGATAGTGTGTATATACAAGGGACGGGCAATTTTTTCATCCTCCCTAATGTAAAACTCAACTGTGTTGAAGCTCCAGGATGTGAGATTGCTATTAATATTACTGGCAATTTTAGTTTAGGCGAAAATTCCACGATTATTGCTGGTACTTTTGATTTAGTTGCTTGGAATGCAACATTTAGTCAAGGGTCAGTGATAAATACCACGGGAATGGCGGGTGATCCCCCGCCCCAGACGAGTGGGTCGCCTGCTTTGTTGGATGGGTCGGGTGGAGGACATGGAGGACGAGGCGCTTGTTGTATGATTGACAATTCGAAGAGTCCTGAGGATTATTGGGGTGGGGATACGTATTCTTGGTCAACGTTGGATAAGCCTTGGAGTTATGGAAGTAAGGGAGGGAGTACGAGTAAAGAGGTTGATTATGGTGGGGGAGGAGGTGGGCGGGTTAGGCTTTGTGTTAAAGAGTATCTTGTGGTGAATGCGGCAGTGTTGGCTGATGGTGGCAATGGGGGAAACAAAGGTGGTGGTGGTTCTGGTGGGAGCATTCACATCATTGCTCACAAGATGTAAATATCTTTAACCCTTCTTTTAATTATTTTGTGATGTTTGTTTTCTAGCAGTTGGTTTTTTTTAACACTCGATAATAGTAGAATTCATTTTCCAATGCAACTCTATTTTTGACAAAACATACCTGTTTGTGTTTAGTTGGTTTTACACAAAACATACCTGCTGGTGATGTGCGTATAGTTGTGGCATATTAGAAAAATTTGAGGTTTCAATCTACGTATAGTTGTGGCATTGGTTGAGGTTTATCTATCACATTTCATTTGTAAGGTTATTATTTTTTCTCATGAAGATGATTAGAGTGGGTAGCTTCCCTATCAAACTATCTATCAAGAAATTATTGGCCGGGTTGTGTCTTTTTAAAGCAATGTTGTTTCCGTTGGCAAGACCTTAGGATATTAATTAGTTGGTCCGTAATAACTAGGTTGTTAGGTATGTAGCCCTAGAAGACATGGGGTTTTTCCCTTTTAGTTTAGGAAGTTCAGGTTGTCCCCCTAAATATATGCGTATGTTCTTTCTTAATCATTTATGCTCCCCTTTTAGAAATGTAATACATTTAAGTGTGTGAGAAGTCATTGCTTAAACTTGTAAGTCATGGCTATTATACGCTTTTGGTATATGCTAAGAGTAGGAGGGGTGGATTTTAGTTGAGGTGAATTGGATATGATAAGGAAGATGGTAAAGGAATTCAAAAAAAAAAAAAAATTTGGAAGAAAAAAGGTCTCCAAAAGCTTGCTTCTTTACTTGGCAGCTGTTAGTGAAAAGCTTCTATTTTAGGATGCTCTTAACTTCTCAAGAGAAGGGAATTTTACATTATGAGCGTTTATTTTGTACCCTGAGGATTCTTCTTCCCTTGTGTTTTATCCCTTTGGAGTTTGGAGTTTATCCTTAGCCTTGTTTGAGGTGAATTTGGTTCAACCTTGTTCTGTTACCGATGCTTGTGTAGCTTAGAAAAGGAGAATGAATAAAGGTTGACTTGCTGTTGTGGAAAATGGTCCTCTTGGCTATTTGGGAGTGTATTTGGAAAGAAAGAAATATTCAATCTTTTGAGGGTGTAACACTGTAACCTGCCCTTTTTGAGGTTTTATAGCTCATTTTTAGACTTTTTTTACTGCTGGAGTCAAGTATTAGGCTCTGATGATATACCTAATATTACCTTAATTTTTAGTTTAATTGCTTCTTGATAGTTTGAGGATGAGCTTTTATTCTTGCCTTCTTTTGTTCATGGGTGATGCTTCTTAGTGTCTTATTAATATTTATGATTATTACTTAACTAGATTGGCCCCACGCCCCCCACGTGTTGCATGCTTAAAATATATATAGTCATTTTTTATTTGGGAATTGTGTAGTCATAAACTGATAAAAGAAATTTTATCTAAGTTTTGAAACTTGGAAGGACAAAAAATAAAAATGATGTTTAAGTAGTTTAGGTGGGATATTTTTCCCTCTCAAAGTAATGGCAATAATGGTTATAGTGCCAATCAATTATGACTTTACCAAGTGACCTGTCTTGTTTGATTCTGCCCCATTAAGCCAATCAAACCAGTTTCCTAGTAACTATGAATTTAGAACTTATTAATCCTATCAGGTCATTTGGGAATTAAGTGTGAGTACTTATTATTACATTTTGGAGTTTTAAACATCTAAGAGCCTTTACTAAATCTAGCTATCCTGTTTGATGATAGTGGCTGAGTTGCTTGAGTGTGTGAGTTTGCACTGTGTATCATAAGTCAAAAAGTTTTTTTTTTTTTTTTTTTTTTTTTTTTTTTTTTTTTTTTTTTTTTTTGAGGTATTAGTGGAATCTACTAGTGAATGGGACAAAAATAGGCAAACATTTAAGGCCTTTATGGCTTTATGATCCATGTGGTTTTGGGTTTGTCCATATTGACTCGGCCAAATGCTCATCAATAATGTTGACATAACCTGCCGATTCTGTTTTTGTTTAAATGTGAAATGAAATTCAGTCATTGAGATAATTGTTTATAGAGTTTAATGTTGCAATGCCGATGGCCAGCTTTAGAGTAATAGGCTTTCAACGTGTCACTTGCACCCTGTTGTTTTGGGGTTGATTCTTGTCTTGCCATTTTTCCGCTGACGGTCTGACCAAGGACTAATAATATTTGATATGTTCTTGATAAATGATGAATTACTTTCGAATGTTCAATAATATGAAACTCTTGATAGTTTTTGTAATCAAAGAAGAGTTTACTTGCCCACATGACACAATTTTGGGTTAGAGTTAAGAAGAAGATTGTAACAGGGCTATCAATTTTAAATACATTTTACAAGGTTATGTAACCCTTATTGCTTTTGATTTTCAACACAACAACTGCGTATTTGTTGATACAAAGTTATGAAAAGGAGGGAAAACGAGACAAGTTCATGCAAATATATTGTTTGAAGTTAGGCTTGAGATAAGAATTCAACAAGAAATATTAAAAAGTCAATTTACAATATTTGTACTTGTCTTTGTAATGTTGAAAGACCTTGATCTTTTAGCGTTGACATAATGCTTCATGAATGGTGTTTTCCTTACGAATGTCCTGTATTCCTGTTCTTGTACTTCTGGTAGATGTCATTGAATTTTAGCTTTTTTAACGATCAATTATACATCATCCTTATAACGTATAAGAGATTAATCTGGTTTTATGCCTTCAAGATCTATAGTGGAAACTATTTATTTTCAAGCATTTAATAGAGTATTATAAGTTATAGAATGTACCTGTGGGTTTTATTGATCTAAATATGTTTATTATTGAGTACAGTGAACTGTTGTGAGAGATTCATATTTCACAAATTCAGGCTGTGGGGTAGGGAGACAATTTTGAGATTGCCAAACCAACTTGTATCTCATATATGTGTGACTTTATCAATGAAAAGTTTTGATTCATCCTCATACTTTTCACATCAGCTCATTATTTTCTAATAGTGCATAAAGAGTAAAGACAATCTAAGGGCATTTCTGTGGTGTATGCTATTTTTTCAAGATTTGACATTGGTGGATGTGATATCAAAGTGCCAATGACAAGATTATCAATCAGATTCCAAACTTTCAAAGGTTTCTAAATTGAGTTAATATGGAGTCCTTGGAGTGGATGATTGGGAAAGTTAGGGATGTGTTGGATATGTTTCTGAAGATTGGGATGTATGCTGTGTTTAATGGTAGATTGTTTCAAATATTTGGGGCAAATTGCTCAAGGTGATGTGAGATGAAGATATTGTGTATTGCATCAATTTGGATGGCTAATATGGACAAGCACCTAAACATACCGCATAAAGTCAACCAATAATGAAGATGAAGTTCTTCTTTGGGAAAGTTAGTTTTTGGGAAACTATTTATGATTTTGAGTGGTTTAAAAGTTTGACCTAGTCAGAACCTCTAATATTGGTGTGTTGTAATTAGTAGGATCTTGTTAAATTCTTCTCAATGTGAACTTTCCATGTATGTAATTATAAATTTTTTTCTTAATATACAACTAAGGATACACAGTAATAATTAACAGATATCTATGAATTAGTCATTTGTTTCAGAAACAAAATGAAGAGAACAAGCTTTTAGAAGTTGGAAGTATAAATGTATTATGAAAGGCACACCTTTTTTCTCCCTTTATTTGGTTACCCTTCTTTTCTCTTCATTATAGTGGTTAGGAGTTGTATGATTGTTTACTATGTGCATTCTGTCTCAAGTTAATTGACTGTTGTGTTGATTTCAAATGTATGGTTTTTGGTGCTTAAACATATGCAGGTCCGGTGATGGTAAAGTGAGTGCATGTGGGGGCAATGGTTTTGGTGGTGGAGGTGGTGGGAGGATTTCCATTGATGTTTTTAGCTGGCGTGATGAGCCAAATACTTATACTCATGGTGAGAATCTGATATTTACTTATCTTTGTTTGATCCATTCTCACTTTATTGAAATTCTTGTATATCTTTGTTTGATTGATTCTTATTTCTCGTTTCATAATCTTTTTTTTTTTATGTTGATTTGATTGCTTCTATTTGCCTGCTGCACTTTTTGTTTTGTATGGCTCTCAGAAAAATTTATCAGCTTGCATAAGCTTTCTTTGGCTTACAATCTATTTTTGGGCTGCTATTTTGGGATTTTGTGAGATGAGCAGCTTTTCTTGGTTATAGATGGCTGGATCTTCCATATAATAGAAGTACAATGCACATGAGAATCTAGATAGGTCACACTTTTTTTACGAGGTGTATCTCATAACTATTGTGGTACCACTGTACCATATCTTGAAACGCTTTGATGTGCTTTGAGTCCTTCGACTCATCTGAAACAAGATAAAAATATTTTGAAGTATTGTTCTAATGAAAAATTTTACTTCATTATACTCTCAAACTCATTATACCTAACTAAAAAAATCGTACTTTTAGTTTGAATGGATATTTTTTCCCTAAAATTTTAACATTTTTTGTGTCTTATTCCCTCCATTTCTTATTTTTTTAGTTTTTAAGAATTTTTTTTTCTAAATTTTAAACTTTCTCGTGTCTTATTCCCCCTTCATTGCTTATTTTTTTCTACCTGCTTTTTGCACATTTTCATGTGAGCATCAATATCTTAAAATACGTACTTTAAAAAGTATATGAATCTAACAAGCTCCCAACTTTGATTTTTAAAAGTTTGTTTCTCGTCAAATGAAATATTTTAAGTAGGAACAATGTTTAGAAAGGGAGTACCTTGTGGATATTGTGGTTTTCTTATGTCATTTTTATATGTTACTCTGACTTGAGACTTGGCTTCTCATGTCATACCTAAAACGTCAGATCTTACTGTGATGGTGTAACTGAATAACTAATGGCTACATCTCAGATAATTATGTCTTCTGTCTATTATGTGACTTGGTTCTTGAAGCTCCACTGATTTAATGCCATACTTTTGATTACTTCATCAAAATTATGTATGTAAACATATAGGATTAATTTTGTGGGAGAGACTTAAATTTTACAATCCATGTTTTCTGTTCTGTTGAGATAGTACTGTGAAGGTTATAATTATTTTTCGTGAAATGATGACTGTCATTTATTTTGTTTAGAGTTGTACAAGTGTTAATTGCTAACTTGACACTTACATCATCACTGCATGCAGGAGGAATTAGTTATGGATGCTCAGATAATGCAGGTGCTGCTGGAACTCTTTATGATGCCGTTCCCCGCAGCCTTATTATTAGTAACCACAATCGTTCTACTGACACAAACACCTTGCTGATGGATTTTCCTAACCAGCCTCTTTGGACCAATGTTTATGTACGCAACCATGCGAAGGCATCTGTTCCGTTGCTTTGGAGTCGTGTGCAGGTCAGTTTATTTCATTCTTTATTCATTTACTGTTGTCAATACCATGTTTTATGAAATAGCAATATACTTCCTCCGTTCCGTTTTACTCCCAACAATTTGACATTTGCCACTAATCACATATTTCTGTTTGACCATCTTTAGTGATTAATATGTAAGGCAAAAGTATAGACAAGTGGGATCTTGTCAGATTTGTCCTATGTTATGTTTTCATAGTATCAACTTTTTTTAAAAAATAGATTTTTACTTTATCATAAAAAAGGTTATTAATGGTTGAAAGTTATGCATCGGCAAATGTGTAAGACTAATTGTTTCAAGTAAAATGGAACAAAGGAAGTTTGTAATAAAAACAATGAAGTGTCTTCGCTTCGCTTTCATTCCTCTAATTTGCGGTTTTGGGGTACTGGATCAGTCTATGCCTACACATCTAATCTATCATAACAGAGAGTTCTAGTCTCATTTTGTGCCCTCACCCTTGGATACATGTTATAGCGTATTACTTTCAGATTTCAGCTTCTAGTATTACGTAAATTTAATTTCGTTTCATAATTAATAGGTTCAAGGCCAAATTAAACTGGAGGCTGGTGGTGAATTGAGCTTTGGGCTGGCAAAGTACGCTTCGTCAGAGTTTGAATTGTTGGCTGAAGAATTATTGATGAGTGATTCAGTGATCAAGGTTTCTGCTATTTCAGACTTTACTTTCTGGATTCATTTTAGGAGTTTATTTATTTATTTTTATTGTAATGTCAAATAGTTTATGGTAGCAATTTAACATTTCCAAGAATATCAGTTCTCTGTCTAATTTGAATGTTTTTTGAGTGGAAAGCATAAAAGCATCACAATACTTTTTAATATAAGTCCAAAAAGTAAGTCGTTATTTTATTTATTAACTTGTTTTACAAAATGGGTATTTTGATATAGGAAGATTAAAGGTGCTATCCATTGTGGTTTTTTGATTGTTGAGAGGTCTTGCATTTTGGTTTGAAAATTGGCTATCTTTTTTAGCTAGAGCCTGGATGGCCAGACTTCTTATGTCGCCATTTTTTTTTTTTTTTCACAATTTTGTATATTTATTATGGGGTTGGGTGCTTTGATTCTTCTTTGCAAACATATTAGCTTCTTATCTTATTTAATATGTCTTTTGTTTTTTTTCCTTCGGCAAACCCTTATCAGATTTGCTTGGGCCTTTTTAATTTCCTTTAAATTTGATCCATAAAGATATGATCTTTCTATTCCCAGTGTAGAGATTTATTAGTGGTTGATAGCATAGCATTTTGTTCTTCTGATTGTTTTGAGTTACTTTCTGTAATTAACTGTGTTTTGCACAGGTGTATGGAGCTCTTCGTATGTCTGTGAAAATGTTTTTGATGTGGAATTCTCAATTGCTAGTAGATGGTGGTTCAGATATTGCAGTTGCGACATCCTTGCTTGAGGCCAGTAATTTGTTGGTTTTAAGGGTACATCCTTCTGTCTTTTTTTTTTTTTTTTTTTTTTTTTGGGTTCATGATAATTTGTCCATGTATTGAAATCTACTCATTTATATGCCAGGAATCATCTTCCATACACTCTAATGCTAATTTGGGAGTTCATGGGCAAGGTTTGCTAAATTTGACAGGTCCTGGTGATGCGATTGAGGCACAGCGTTTGGTGTTGTCATTATTTTATGGTATCCATGTAAGTTTATGTTTAAACTTTGCAAGTTATCCATTAAATGCATTGCTGAAATAATGCAAGTACATTTTAGTGGGACGATCAGATATGGGGTCAAGGCTCAAATTTTTAGATGTATGTTAGATCTACCCTCGACCATAGCAGATCTGCGATATATTAAAATCCTATTCTTTGCTTTTGTGATGGTTTTAAATCTCGTACACGGTCTGAACTGTGGGCAATGTGGGTGGCTTGTGGCCTAATATTTTGGTTGCGGTAAGCTTAAAATTCCTAACAATGAGGTTGTGATGTGCCTGAGATTTAATTCCATGGTTTGGATTATTTTATTGTCAGTTAGTAGTCATGTTTTTACAGAATATTCATGGTTCATTATTGTATTATACGCAAGTATTGGATTAGGTTGAAGCATCAAATTATTTTGCTGTGCAACCATTTCATTTTTATATACTTTTGCAGATTGGGCCAGGATCTGTCTTGCGTGGCCCACTGGAGAGTGAAAAGAAAGATGACATGTGAGTTTTGTTGAACTCTTGACAGTTCAACCTTTTTACCACATCATTTGGTGTCAAAGTGGTTCATTCATTTTGTCTTGCAGGACACCTAGGCTGTACTGTGATGACAATGACTGTCCTTTAGAATTGCTGCATCCTCCTGAAGATTGTAATGTCAATTCTTCCCTGTCATTCACTCTGCAGGTTTGTATTTTTAAATGAATGCTATTAACAAGATCCAAATATGATCGAATATTTAAATCTAATTCACGTGGAGGAGTTGTTGTTGACAGGTATGTAGAGTTGAAGATGTGATTGTTGAAGGCTCTATAGAAGGGTCAGTTATTCATTTTCATAGAGCCAGGACTGTAGATGTGGGACCATCTGGAACAATAACTGCATCTGGCTTGGGTATGCATCTTTTAAATTCTTATAGTCGAGGTGTATATCTGTTTATGTGGCTGGGTCTCGTTTATAGGTCTGAGATTCAGAAGAGATCCCTAAGCTATAACCTTAGGCAGTATCTGTCGTTAGTAATTTGCGGTGGTTGCTCTGACATGGACATCAATCCCTTCCCTAAATTCCTATTGCTTTCCTTTTTAACTTTATTTATTTTATTTTTGTATGTTTGGTTGGACTGCAATGGGAGGATCTACTAAGTACCCTGTCCTTTGTTTTGAAAAAGCATGTTATATAATTGTGCAGGTTGCACTGGTGGAATTGGCAGAGGAAAGGTTCTCAGTAATGGCCTCAGTGGTGGTGGTGGTCACGGTGGTAATGGCGGGGCTGGATGTCATGGTGCTACTTGTGTTGAGGGTGGGGTATCATATGGAAATAAATATTTACCTTGCGAACTTGGTAGTGGAAGTGGAAATGATAGCGTAGCTGGTTCCACTGCTGGTGGTGGAATTGTTGGTAAGTACCATGAGCTTAGATGGTATCGTCACCGTATTTTATTGGCTTCTCTTTAGTGTCTAATTGTCTATCAAAGCCTTATAACTTTGCTTTTCTAATGTATATTGGCAGTCCAATTTTTCTGATGTTATTTGATACTTTGTATTAGTCAACATGATTGTTGTTTTTCCACATATTTTTTACAGAAGTGTGTATGGTATGTAGTTTGTAGTCCATGCCATGTGTATATTGTTGACTATTCTCTTATTGCTAGATCTAAATGTCAAACTTTATGAAAATAGTTCTATATGTTAATCTGTTGGCCGTAGGTTGACATGGATTCCTAAGTCCAATCTTAATGAGCATTTATCTTGGAGAAGGGAATTATGCATATTTTTGGTTAGCTATTGTAGAATTAATTAATGCATTGAAGATGCTGAATTTGTGATTGTGAGCTTTTCGAACTCCTAGTTAATGCGAATTAAAACTAATTGTATACTTTTTCACTTTGTTTTTGTGTTGTAGTCATGGGTTCAATGGAGCATCCATTGTCCAGCCTTTCTGTTGAGGGCTCACTGAGAGCTGATGGAGGAAGCTATCAAGATGGAATTAGGAAAGCTTATTCTATTTTTGACAGCTTTAGTGAAGGTCTTGGGGGTGGATCAGGTGGTACTGTGCTATTATTTTTGAAGACCTTGACTATTGGTGATATTGCCACCCTATCTAGTGTTGGTGGGAATGGTGGTCCACTGGGTGGTGGTGGTGGTGCTGGAGGCAGGGTGCATTTTCATTGGTCTGATATCCCTACCGGTGAATTTTATCAGCCCATTGCCAGCGTTAGGGGAAAAATTGTCACTGGGTTTGTATTGGCTTCCTTATTTGTTTATATCTTTTGCATGCAATTGTAATTTTTATTGCCGTTATTGCTTTGGATTTGTATGCTCTGTTTTGTTACTGTATTGGGCTGTCTTGTGAATGATATGAAATTAATCTGGCATTTGTTCTGTTATATACTCAAGTCAATAGTTCATGCCCTTGTTATTTTTTTGGTTACCTTGTCATACTGTCATTTTCGTATGCATTTTTTCTTATCTGGTTTCATATTTAGTACATACTCGTATATAGTTTGAGATGATATTTAGCTATTCAGGAGTATGTGGAGCTTTGTTCTTTTCATATATGGATGTGGCACATGTTTGCATTAGACATTTTTTTGTTGTACAAACTCTTGGTAGAAAATTTTGAAACGTCTTCCCCCTCCTCTTTTGAGTAATTTGACACCAATGAAACAAAATAATTGATGGTTTAAAGCTTGCAGTTAATTATACTTTGATGTCTTTGTAAATGATGATCCTTCTTTGATATCTTTCTCTGGAGCCTAGCATCTCTTTTGTTGTTACGTGTTCTTTGGAAATTGTATGAGAGTTTTGTTCTTTCTGTTACTTTTTTTTTACTGTTTCCAATTTTCCATTGACGCTTGGATGTGTTTGCTTTATTATAGGGGAGGATCTGGTGGTGATGAAGGTGGTGCTGGAGAAAATGGAACAATGACAGGAAAGGCTTGCCCAAAAGGTCTCTATGGCACCTTTTGCAAGGTAAATTTGGAAGTGAAGTTCTTGCAGAATTTTCTTTGTAATTTTTATTTAATTACTGGAGTTTTGTGGTCTCTTTGGTCATTGTATAGTTGAAAACTACTTTGTTAGCTGCATGTCTTTTAATGTTGTAGATGATATTATGCATGTGGCCTGATAGACGTTTATTTATTTCCCCTTTAGCCATGTATGTTATGGGAAGCAATTGACAACATCTTGTTGCTTTTACTCAGTTACATATTAATCATATGGGAAAAAAAAATTATGCCTGATAACAAATTTGTTTTCTGGACAGAATTAATGGTTGCGTAAAAGAATGTTTTGTTAATTTTTTGTTTTCCATAATTTTTTTAGCGCTCCCTGGCCAGGCATATCTCTAAATCTGCCTTTGTATAAGTGTGCTATTTACACACTAAAATTCATCTTCATTGGCTTGGAGTAGGTTGGCTGTGCACATAATATAAAATTTCTGAGTCCATTTTCCTAGATTAATGCTTTACTGTACAGGAATGCCCCCCTGGCACTTACAAAGATGTCATCGGATCGGAAGAACATCTCTGCCATCATTGTCCTTCGCTGGAGTTTTCTCATCGTGCTGTTTACGTTAGTGTCAGAGGTACTTCTAAATCTTGATTAAATGTCAGCAAGAGTTTTACAGTTGCTGAGCTGAATTAGTAAAAGGTTATGGCAGTTTTTATGCTGCTGTGATTTCTTGTAATTATTTGTTCAGATCTGGAAATTTCATGTTTGAATTAATTTCTCCTGTGCTTCTTAATCACTACAAGCTATAATATGGAGGATGTAATGTTTAAATATTGGCTGCTTCATTAATAAGCTGATCCTTTCTGATAGGTGGCGCAACTGAAGCTACATGCCCTTACAAATGTATTTCAGACAGATATCATATGCCACATTGCTATACAGCCCTTGAGGAGCTGATTTATACATTTGGAGGACCCTGGATGTTTGGTCTTATTCTACTGGGCCTCCTTATCTTGTTGGCTCTTGTGCTCAGTGTTGCACGTATGAGGTTTGTTGGGGTCGATGAATTACCTGGTCCTGCTCCAACACAGCACGGTTCTCAGATAGACCACTCTTTCCCTTTCTTGGAGTCACTTAATGAGGTGTATAATCCTGTCTTCTGATTTTTTATTTGTCTAGAAAGAGAGGGGGGGGGGGGTTCTCTAATTAAGTGGACATGACCTGGTTTAATCTGTGAACTATGGAAGTGATCTTCAATTATCTCTGTTTTTTCATTTATATTCTTTTTAAATTTACATTTGCAGTGTTGATACTATTGTCTTACTTTGCTGTTTCTTGTCGCAGGTTTTGGAAACAAACAGAGCCGAGGAGTCTCAGAGTCATGTTCACAGGATGTATTTTATGGGACCAAACACTTTTGCTGAACCTTGGCACCTCCCTCACTCCCCACCGGAACAATTAAAAGAGATTGTGTTAGTACTTTCTTTTTTTCAGCCATTATACATTTGATCTTTGGATGCACCTGAGGTGGCTTCTAAATGCTCTCCGATGCTTGAAATCTATTACAAACATTAAGGGTATCTTGTGTCATATTTTCAGGTATGAGGGTGCCTTTAATAGATTTGTAGATGAGGTTAATCTTCTTGCAACATATCAGTGGTGGGAGGGATCAGTATATAGTATACTTGGTGTTTTAGCATATCCATTGGCTTGGTCTTGGTTACAGTGGCGCCGTAGGATTAAACTGCAGCGACTTCGAGAATTTGTTCGATCAGAATATGATCATGCTTGCTTAAGATCTTGTCGTTCTCGTGCTCTTTATGAAGGGATAAAGGTTAAGCTCTGCCTGCTTACTTTCTTCTGTTATTTTATATCTGAATGTTTTTGTGTTTTGGAATAGGATTGTCTGTTTTTCTTTTGTTCACCAACCTTTACTACGTAATTTCTGTAACAAAACTTGCTTTTTCTTGGATCATTTTGTACTGGTTACTGATTTTTTTGATCTTTTTTGTAAGATGTCTTTCTCAATTGAGATATTGATTTGTCCGAAAGGCGTAGTTTTTCAGACTTCCTGCGTCTAAAGGGTACTGGGGTAGCTGATAGGTTTGTGATAATATGGCTGATTAGATTGTTTGATTATACTCCCAGCGTTTTTATTTATTTACATAATTTGATTTTTAAGTGTATCGGTTTGACTGGCACTTAGTTTTAAGGTTGGTGAGTTGAATGGAGTAAAATATTGTAAAACAAAGATAGTGGTGGTAATGTAAAAAAGTAGGAGTTGGGGGGACCATGTGAGGAGAAATGAAATATGAGAGATGATGTTCAAAAAAGGAGTGTCTTCAGAACAGGTTTTTGTTAAAGCTTATTTTTGAACCCACATTTGAATTTAACAGGTTGCTGCTACTCCTGATTTGATGCTCGCATATGTGGATTTTTTCCTTGGTGGTGATGAGAAAAGGAGTGATCTCCCTCCTCATCTACTTCAAAGGTTTCCCTTGGCTATACTTTTTGGCGGTGATGGAAGTTATATGGCACCCTTTACTCTTCACAGTGACAATATTCTAACTAGCCTAATGAGTCAGGTATGCCGTTGTAAACTCATGTCTGAGTAGGAATTAAATATTTATAATATGTGTTGATGCTATGTTTTCCTTAATGCTGATCGTGTATGTGTGCTCTTTGGGGGTATGATTCCCTTCAGTCTGTCCCTCCAACCACTTGGTATCGTCTGGTGGCCGGTCTTAATGCGCATCTACGCTTGGTCCGGCGTGGATGCCTAAGGAAATCATTTCGACCTGTTCTTAGGTGGCTTGAAAGTCATGCTAACCCCAAGCTGAAGAATTATGCTCTACGTATTGACCTTGCTTGGTTTCAAGCCACAGCTTGTGGATATTGTCAGTATGGTCTTTTGGTTTGTACTCTTGATGAGAACCTTGAGTGTCTATCCCCTGAGTATCATGATGGGAATATGCAAACTGAGCTACCTTCTAGGTATGTTGTTTTAATCATTCTTGTTTATTTATACTTATATTGTTGTATATGTATATGTGCATACTCAGCCTCTGCGTCTAGTATTTTTTAGTTCTGGTGACTGTCTTGATGAATGCTTCTGATCACATAACAGCATCCGGGTAGGAAATTCATCTGGCTATCACTGGGAAGATTCCCTCTTAGACAATGTTAGCAAAACAGATGAATATTTGATGCGACAGAAGAGGTCATATGGAGCTATTTTGGACATTGAAAATATACGAGATCTGGAGGAAAAGAGAGATATCTTCTTCCCCTTCTCTCTCATTCTTCACAATACTAAGCCTGTAGGGCACCAGGTAATGGATTCTGCTAATTAATTTTGAATTGAGTTCTGCTGAAAAAAATAGTTTACAAGGGCCTTCATGGATATTAACTTACCATCACTATTATATGTATTGTCCTCTTGCAGGATCTTGTTGGTTTGTTTATCTCTATATTGCTTCTGGGGGATTTCAGTCTAGTGCTGCTTACTTTACTCCAGCTATATTCTGTATCACTGGTGGATGTGTTCCTTGTATTATGTTTTTTACCACTGGGTATTCTTCTTCCATTTCCTGCTGGAATTAATGCTTTGTTTAGTCATGGTCCTCGGCGTTCAGCTGGTCTTGCACGTCTGTATGCTCTGTGGAACATCACCTCTTTGGTCAATGTTGTAAGTACAAATTGTCCATCTCTTTTGTTTAATTTACAAATATGGTTTAATTCTTCTTAAAGACCTTGATCTAGTACTTTAAAAGAATTTGATGCTTTAAAGAAGTGAAGTATTTTCTTATTTAGTTCATCCTTTATCGATTTCTCTAGTAAAATCTTCAATACCAACTCTACATATCTGGCTCAACTTGCCAATCAGCTTACTTATGAAGGGTTTACTTGGCAATTTGGATCCTCTTCAGCTCATCCCTTGGCCCTGCTGAATGCTCACGGTCTTTTTTATTTATTTTTATTTTGAACAGGTGGTTGCATTTATTTGTGGTTATATCCACTACAAGTCTCAAGCATCACGAAGCAAAATGATTCCCTATTTGCAGCCATGGGGCTTGTAAGTTAACTTTTTTACTAGATGTTTTCTTTATTCGCTAATTACAGGTAAACATAGGCTATCGGCTATCGTCGGCCTGCCTCATAACGATTTCCTTTGTTGCTGGGTGTATTTGCAGGGATGAAGGTGAATGGTGGATTTTTCCAGTGGGACTGCTTTTGTGTAAATGTCTTCAGTCTCGACTGATAAATTGGCATGTTGCAAATTTGGAGATACAAGATCGCTCGTTGTATAGTTCCGACTTTGACGTATTTTGGCAGTCATAAGTCATAACATCATTTACTTTGTCTCTTGCCCAAGTATTAGGTTTTTTGTATGTTGCTCTTGGGTGTAGATGAGAAACACAAAAGAACTGAAAGGAAAAAGAAAACAACAGGAGTAAAAGAAATTATTAGGCCTAGGATAAATGTCATTCTTTTTGTGTAGCTGATCCATTATGTAATCTTCTGTATCCCATGTACATAATAGGTACATATGTGCTTCGCTTTTTGACCATTTATGATTCTTCATGACATTTTGACAAATGTTACCATACTTATTTAACAGAACAATTGTGTTAACGCACACTTCTACACTTTGCCCAAACTAACTCAGAATGGAGCATTCGATTTAACCATTGAATAGGTTTCGGAAATTCTTGAAGTGTTGCAATGGTAGATGGAAATGTTTAATTCATGTGAATATGAACTTGTAGTTATAGGGATTTAGGAAGGAATGATAATTGCTATTTTCTCCTTTCAAAAATATAGTAATGTTAAATCTTGTTAAATTTATCTATGAAGCATACTTAATACTACCTTCGTTTCATATTATTTGCAATGATTAGACATTTTTCTCTCTATTTTATGTTAAATCGTTGTAAATAATATGAAACAGAGGCAGTATTAACATTTTTTTTTATAATTTTACTAAAATACAACTTGAGAAATTTAAGTTATAAAATATGCATTGACATTTGACAGTCGCAAAATCCTCAACGTTGTGACTAAAAAATAACAGTAGTAGTATTCTACTTACTAATGCACAAATCAAGCTTAGAATTTTACTTGCAACATAAGAAGTTTCACTCTTACTAATCTATATTTTAAAGTATTAATATCTTTGTTGCGTTTTGGTAAAATTAGATTTTTAATAAAATTTAATAGTATAAATTGAGATGAATCTAACTAGATAGTAATACATGAATATTTTTTAGAGTGTAATTAGTGCCGAAATCCTAATGTTACAACTTGACAATCAACTAAAAAGATGGCCTTCACATTTCACAGGAGACAGATTACAATGACTCCCAAGAGATCTGATTTTTTTATATTCAGCCATAACACAGACAGGCCACTAATGTGGCAATAACTACAAGTTGAAGCATTTTGTTCCTAGTTTAGAATATGCTCTGCCTAAGAATCATTGAACATCTTCAGAAAATTCTTGATACAAAAAAACATATCTGCTGTTACTCTTTGTTCAAAATTTTGGGCACCTTGATGTATGGTTCCTCATAACTGGGAAATGAAGCTATAATAGCTTCCCTGTACAGTAGAAACAGGAGACTTAGTTTAGATAAGAAGTTGAAATTTAAGAGCAATCAAAATGGCTATGAAAATAAAGAATTTTTTTTTTACCAATTGTCAAATGGTTGAGGGATGTCTTCACGTAAATTGTCACCATCAATTTCTGCACATATGATTACATTTTGAAGTTAGATAGGAGATTTGTACATGCCCATATCGTATCAGGGATATATATTCAATGCTTAATCATACAAAGTAGTTATCTAGAATACCATGTAATGCAACCAATATTCTCAGGTATAATAATGTAAAATTTAATTCTAGCAAATCATAACGGAATTCTACATGCCAATGACACAAACACTTCAATGATTTGGTTTTCACAAATCAGCACAGGCAAAGGTCCTAAAGGGCTACGAATTCTCCTAGTGAATCTTTCTTAAAAAGTCAGACTCAAGACGAAGAATTCAATGCTCATTGCAGAAGAGAGTAAGCAAAATCATCAATATCTACTAGAACAATGTCTGCATCACAATACACTTTAGACCTAATCAACCGTCTTTGTAATTTCATCTAAAAAACCAAGATGCTGATTGACATTTGAAGAAATTCTAGTTTCAAACTTCTAGAATGAACAGATATGCAAAAGTGAGCAAGTCTGAAACAAAGAACCAACCATACTGGCCTAGTGAATAAATTAGAAATACAGCTGAAGTTAACATAACAGCAACAGGCTCATAATGGTGCATAAATACACAACCACACTCTGCTCATCTAGGCTATAGCAACCCAAAATTTAAAAATTAGGGCAATCAAGTAAAAATATCGTAACAGAGATGTCATTTTTCCAACATATGTGGATGCGATTGTGCAACCTTAATTAGTGTCGTTATAAGAATAATGAAGTAAATCAGGATAGGAGTCCTAATTCCATGAATCAGTAAAACTAATTACAGCAAATAGGGAAAGAATGAGCGCACAAGTTCACAAGCAGGTGCATAGAGAGTATATGAGGAGAATCCTTGCAAGAAAAAAGCTCATATACTGTGTATCATGCACTTAGGAAGAGGCTATTCACAAAATTTCAGTAAAATGACCACATTGTTTCTTAGACAACTTGATAAATCAGTTTATAAGAGGGGGGCAGTAAAGAGGATTGGAGAAGAAGAGTTGGACATTAGAGCTTAGAGACAGCAGTAGTGAAGATAGGTTTGACAAAGATGATAGTACTTGACAAAAAAAAGCATGTGTATATGATAACAATGATTGAATGCAGACTTCTTTCCACATCTTATTTTTCAATAAACACTAGAAGCAAATATATCCTTGTCTTGAAAAGAATTTCCATGGATAAAAAAAAAACAAATAATTTCCATATGATTTACAAACCTATGACATTCCCAAGTCAAAATAATAATGCAGTCAGAGGAAATATTTGCAATGTTCTCTTGCAAACATAATAAAAAAATTATCTTTGATTAAGGGGTATCATATTGCAGAAGCTAGAGGGAGTTAGAAGAGTAAATACTATTACCTGAACGAATGGCTGGCTCAATACTTTCAAGATCGACATCTTGAAGTTGTCCAAACCTAATAAATAAACCAGGAAAGAAAATTCTATAAGCTAAGACGAGAGAGCACAAGAAACTAGAAAATGTTTATTACAGCCAAAGCAAATCCTTATTTTAGATCAAGGTTGTCCTTCCATAAATCATGCAATGATGCAACATACCCAATCACCAAGGTAAAAAAATTGCCTCTTAAAAACTATTTTACCACAAGACAACATCAATCCATGAATATTAAAAACCCCTAAGGGACAAAGACAAAATAAATAAATTCACAATCCTATGTCACTTGTAGATTATTTCAACGAAAAGTAATCAGTAAACGTTCCTAGGTTAACCTTCCTAACTTCAGCATATGGAACAAAAAACTACATAAATTATTTTTATCCAAATAAAAATTTCCAATTTGACTTTTGAAGGTTAAATAAACTTTCAAGTTTCAACAGTAACCCGTCACTGCAAATTCTGAAGCTAATATGGACAATTTTAGCATCACAACATGGAAGAGAGACTAATCAGCCATTACAATGTAAAAAACCCAAATTTAAATATTGAAAGCAATCAGCAATTACATAAGCTTAAACTGAACAAGTGGGTAGTAGGCAAGAGGAGAAGGTTTACCACTCAACAACTTGCTGAATTTTAGGACCAAATTCATGAACCTAAAATCAGAACACAAACAGCTTAACAAATCCCGCTCAAGCCGTGAAAAAATTGTCAAAAGAAACTGCAGAAATGAATGTGCTAGATTGTTCAACTTTTACCTCCTCGGGGGTGAGAGAGATACGAGCAGTTTCAGCCAACCGACCCACATCAGGTGGATCAAAAGAAGAAGATTTAATGGAGTAATTACGTCTTTCTCTCTTCATTATGAACAAACTGGGAATTGCAGTAATGCTTCTCGTACTACCAACTAACATGTTTGTTCCTGTTCCAAATGCAACCATTGCTCTGCAGCAGAAGCTTGCCATTTGCTTGCGCTCTTTTCTTCAACAAAGCTAGTTTGTGAATTGATGCCTCACCCACCCCCTAGGTATTATCAACGGACACAAATACAAGAACAAGAGCTAAGTAATCGGATAAAAGAGCTAACAAAACAGCATGTTATGAATAATACTAACATTTTATCACGTTGATTGAGAGTAGTACTAAGGATGGGTGACCTCCTAAGAAATCCTCATGTTGGTTCATGTAGCCGACCCCACTAATGGGATTAAGGTGTTCAAGGCAAAGAAGAAGAAGAACAAGAAGAAGAGGGACAAAGTTGTAGTCAATTAATTAAATATTAGATGCGTAAGATAATAGTTTGGATAAAACAATAAAACCAGAGTTACACATAAGGCATGCTCAATTGTTTGGTAGTAGCTAGTTGCTACAGTCAAACAATGACTCATTAATTTTCACAACTTGACTCATTAATTCGAAACTATACCAAACAAAGAATGGATAGTACCAAGTGGGATTTCCCACTAATAACATGAAATTATATTACACAAAAGTGGGAAAAAAAATGGAGCACTGCAAATTATTAGGATAGTAAAATAGGATGTTTTATGTAACAATAATACTAAACAGAGAATTACCATGAAATTACCTACACATTCTATCATTTCTTAGATGATATCACTAATTTCATAACCACCAAACCATTAAATACAACCCTAACCAAATTGATACTAACTAAAGATTCAAACCGTAGATACCCCAAATTAATTTTAAAAATCCTAATTATAGAGAATACTCAAATTTCATATGTAGAAGAGAGAAGAAAATTACCTTAGATTTCCCCAAATTGACTGACGAAAACAATTGAGCTTGAGGTGAAGCAATTTTTGTGAGGATCTAGCTTGGAATGAGTATAGAAGAAAAAAACTGATTTGGGACTTTAGGGTAGAATATTTGTTTTTTTTTTTTTTTTTTTTTTTTTTGAAATTTTGGGTAGAATCTTCCTTTCTTTTCACTTCTTCAATGGAGTAGTGGAGTAAGTTGGACTAGCGGAGTACGTTTTTTTTTTTTTTTTTTTTCAATAATTGCTTTTGGAAACTTGAAATCAATAATCAATAACTTAATATTAAAACACACGTGTCACATCCAGGTGTTATTTTTTCTTCCAAAACTCCCCTTTCCTTGTTAACTTTTTTTTTGTTGTTAATATTTGATTCTATAATACGTATGGTATGTTCAGCAAAATATAGTTGTGAAAGTAGCTGTTAGCTATGTAGATAGATTATAGTTGTCAACAAGTTGTTAGCTGTGAAGATAGATAATTTAGATACGAGTGTTCGGTAATGTAGCGGTTGACTAGTTGTGACAAACATTTTATCATGTTGAAGAATTATACTAACATTTTATCACCTCTCCCAAGTATAGAAAAAATCACGTTGATTAAAATCCCCACTCAAACTAACCCAAAACTAGAGCTACGGATTTATCAACAAGAGAGGAAAGAAATTTGCCGAAGGCAACAAAATTTAATAGTTGCAGTGTGCAATGTTGAAAAAAAAAAAGTAATAAAAAAATTAAAATCAATTCATCTTTACAAAATAAACACAAATCAGAGGCGCTCGATACCCTTTCCCTTGGAACTGAAATTTCATGCCTTCAAACTGCAAACTCAGCCAATTTTTATTTAGATGCTGAAAAATAAGAACTGAAATTTCCGCCATCAAACCCCCTCCCCATCTGTTAAAACTCAATCTCCAGTCAGCTCCAAATTTTCTACAAATTCTGATTTTGGCCTAGTGAAAGATTAAGATCAAATAATGAGAGAGAAAGCTTTGACCTGGAAGTGAGACTGCGAGTGCAGCGGATTTTAAAATCTGCTATGTCTTATTCTAGTTTGAGATAAAGGAAGAGGGAGGAATTAAAAGGAGGGAACCTACGAAACCAGGTTAATTGTATTTGGCTATCTCTAGCCTATCCAACATATACAAATACGGAGTATATTCTGAAGAAATGTTGGCCCGTCACATAGAGTGCTTAAACTAGGTAGTATAAACTAAACAATTTCTTAAGAGTGAAGATGTTGAGTACGGTGATAGTGCCCCTAGGTTGCATTGACAAGTTGATATCAATTAATGATATATACAAGATAAAAGTATAAATATCTAATGATAAATACTTAGTAAATTGTTAAAAAAATGATATCCAAACATCTAGTTTAGATGAAAAAACCAAACAAAGCATAATGAGCTTTTTTTTTTTTTTTTTTTTTTTTTTTTTTTTTTTTTTTTTTTTTTTGAAAGAAAAGTATAATGAGCTTATGTGCATAAGAAAGATAATACCAGTCCTACAAGTAATCGTTCTTATAAACCAAGAATTAGAGCTACAATAGTCTTGATTTGTAAATCGTTCTAAATTCTAATACTTGAAATCTGCAAACTAAATAAAAACCATGAAACCAAGTACAGGCAAAGTGTATATCTTACACACCATAAAACCATGGAAAAGAAGCACTATTGCACTGTAAAAAACTAAGATAAGTAGATAAGCACAAGGTCCATTAGTATGCAAGTTATGCATACCGCGGAGAAATAAACCAAGTCTTCAATTGTTTCCAATTTCAATGCAATTATACCAATGATATCCTTTGGCAACATACACCAATAATCACCCATCTAAACAACATTACAAACATATAATCAAAACACTAATCATAATTAATTACAATCAATAATTCCTAAATTGAGTATACTGATTACTGACGACTAAATTAATCGATTAACACTAGATTGTGAAATTAATATTCGATAGATTAAAACAAATAGTACCTCTAAATTGGCCAGATTATCAAATTAAAGGGTTATGAAAACCAAACTATCAAATATATGAATAGCAAAAATTGCAATATCTTACCTCAGAAGCCGTTACTTTCAATGGTGGATACTCGAGACTGAAGAGAAAGCTCAAAAGCCGCTTCAATGGAGGAAATTTTTAAAAACTTCTATATCAACTATTATTCCTGAATTAAAGAAAATGAGAAATCCAAACAAAACTATCTCAAAAGAACTTCAAACAAAAATCGATTACATTAGGGAAGTAATTAGGAATAATTAAAGTGTAAAAAGAAATTGTGAATAAAAGATAAATTCAAATACCTGAGAAGATAAATCGAAATACCTGAGAAGATAGAGGTAGTGCTAGTAATCAAGTTGGAATTTAGGGCACAGCTGATCGCCGTCTCTGTCACCGTCGCCGCCGAATTCGCCGGAAAATTGTGGTCGGAAGAATGCGTGGAAGGAGGAAGGAATTTAGTGACTGGTGATGGAGATTGAGGAATGCTCATCCACAATGCTAAGGAAATACTTTCTTTTTTTTTTTTTTTTTTTGACACAAAAGGAAATACTAGGAAGGTAAATAAAAATTTGGAAAATAAATTTTAATTAATTAGCCAATTTTCTAAATTTAGTTTAAAGAGCGAAAATAGTGGTGAAATTATAAACTGTAATAGATTTAAATTCCAAAATTCTTTTAAAACTTTTAACTGATTTTTTTTTTAAGGGTAATTCACTTATAAAGACTATTCAATGGCTACATGTAGTTGTAGATGTTATAGTGTTATACAAAATTTTACTCCAACCTATTAAAGTTAGGAGCAATCGTATCCATTGATTTGTTTATTAAGTGAAAAAGTTAAAGTAAGAATACGAAACCAAAGTTAGAAACGGTTTTGCCTGCCATAAAATTCAATAGAAAAAGTTGCCAATGCAATCGGACATGCAATCTAGGTGTAATATCACCATACTCACCATTTTCACGAAAGCACTTATTTTCTTAGTTGGTCCAAAGGAGCAAGAACCAGTAGGATAGTACTCTTAAGTAGTATTTTTTTAGTAATTTGAACAGCGAAATTGCAACCAATTTGATAATTATGTTGCACATAACCTTAAGGATTATAAAAACAAAGCAACATTTAAAATAAAATAATTAAAAAAATAAAAATAAAATCCACATACCAGTATACAACTGTGCGGCTGAGCCGACGTGTGATTTTGTCATTTTGAGATTTGATTTGCCAAATTCTAGATAGATTGTGTTCCTAGATAGACGCAAAGTAGATACTCAAAATGGAGGGATTAGATCATATACAATGTGAACGTGAAAATTGCCTTATTTCACCCAATATATATAAATAATGCACAAAAAGGCCAGTTCATCATGTCAAAAATTTCAATTTCTTTCAGGTTCTGCGTCACTATTAAGATCAAAAGTTCTCCTTTCTGAGACAGTAGTATTATTACAATGGTGTAGTTGTTGAGCTGCGGATAGAATCTTTTGGCTGTCATTTGTGTTAGGAGAAGTGTTTGTTCCCGGATTTTTACTCGCTTCAGGCAAAATGGAAGATTGCGTATCAGCTAATGGAGCAATTCCTGCAGCTTCACTGCTTCCAACATGACTTGCCACACCGTCTTTACAGCCACCAACAACTAAAGTAGCAATACAATGAAGAAACAATTGGAGAAAGAAAAGAATTTAGAAGCAGGAGGGGAACCATAAAGAAAGATGGCCTTTTACACATAGATAATACAGTATGTTGTGTAGAGACCTATTTTTCTTCTAACAATAAGGTTCATAAAATTTATCAATAAGATTTACATACCTGACTGAGGAGTTGGAACAGTTGGCAGGCTGGTGGTGGAAGCCGAGGATAAGGCATTGCTTGCTTTTTTGCTTTTAGTCTGGGATGAAAGGATAGCATTAGGTAAAATGAAATTTGAGGTGCAGAACATAATGAAAGAGATATTTGTGGCTCAGGAATTACAGCATACTAAGCATAGTTCTTTAAATTACTCAAATTATATCAATTTTTTTTTTTTTTAATATGTTTATATACAATAAGTATTTGAGCAATAGAGCTCCCATCTGAAAGAAGCTTGCATAGAAAGTTGTTGAATTAATTAGGATTAATGATGAGCACGTATTTATTTGAGCTTTGGGCTGTAAACACGAGGAGCCTGAGCTTTGTTCTTGTGTGAGCTAACTAAGGTTGTATACAACTCAAGGACATATAGCTTTCTCTTAAATTCTACTCTATATCCAATTTCATCCAGAGGAAAACTTACCAAAAACTTAAAATAAAAGGTCACAAAAGTGCATGCTAAAATACTTGACACAATAAGTTTGCTTATATGAATTATGAATGCATAATTAAAAGTAAATACATGATTGCAGAATACGGCAAAATATAGTTCATGTACCTTAACATTTTCTTCGCAGTACTTGACAACAGCAGAGATACTTGGGCATCGCCCGTGCAATAGTGTGTATGCCCACAATAAAAGTTTCCGTGGTACACTCACATCGACAATTTCAACCCCATCTGCACTGTGGTTAAACTGCCCAGTTGTGATCAGTCGAGCTGGAACCCAGAAGAGATTCAAACCAGATAGGAGAACGATCGATGAACTATCACGATAAAAGCTGTAAGTAGATCTCAGCAGAGAATTTGCCGTTTCCAGATTTTCCTCTGAAGCTTTCTTGACTACAACATGCTCAAATTTTGACAATAATGTATTCCATTTTGTTTCAAGAATTGCAACGTGAGCTGAATTTCCAAACGAAGGATACCAGAAATCTTTGGCTTGCAAATCTAGATACAAAAGCTGCTCATTGTCTGAAGCAGTTGCTTCACCACAGGCACTAGAATGTAATGGTGTGATCTTAACAAGATTGATTATAAGAGATCTGCACCAGGCAACAGAAGCATGTTTGAAAACCCCAGAGCAGCTGCTATCGTTTGACAGTTTTGGATTTCTGCAACGTTTCCGTATCTTCTCATTTAAGCCTTCAAGGACTTCAAGCTTGACATCTTTCTCCAATGAATATAGATATTGGTGGAGATAACTGCATTAAGAGCAGATAAAGAAAATAATGCATCTGCCCATTTCAGTTCAATTTCAAATTTGACTGCTAATATCGAGTACAATAAGGGGACTTAGTTTGAAAGTGAGTTCATGATAATTGATTACATAGGAGATAACATTACAGTCAAGCATATTTTTGTGATAGTCTCCATGAAAATTTTAGAATTCTGAAAATATAGCATTGAAAAGGGAAAGAAACAAGCAATAGTAGCATGTAGATATCAAAATAAACTTGCTGAAGACCAATAAAAGAAATAAGTGGTTGAATATAAATTACCCATATAATGTTCTTTCTGACAGTTCTGGGCACTTAATTTCCGTCGAGCTGCAAATATCAGGCCAAAGGCTTGCCTGCTCCATGAACAAAGTAAACATCTTCTCAAGTATCTGCTCGGGAGAGCTTTTTGCAGGAGTAGAGGCAGCAGCATCAGTTGACGACATGGATGAGATAAGAGTCTTTAAGTACCTCCCAAGAGCCACAGGAACCAGATCTTCCAAGCATAAGGAGAACTGGATCCAAATTCATACGAGTAAATATTTCAAATCAGCAATGTATTGTAGGCACAGCATTAATCTTATAGTGAATATTGGCATCAAAATCTCCATAACATAAACAACAGAGAAAAGAAGAAAACAGAAAAGATCTCTAATTTGTAAGACAAACTTCAAACCCGGCCTTTCCTTTTCCTTTTTCCAGGACTAAGGAGGAAAAGGGGCAAGAGAAAACCAACTAAATACACGAGCTATATGACTTCTACAGAAAGAACAAAGACCCTAGATTTCATAAGCCAAAAATTAAAACAAGACAAAGAAGGAAAATTAAATGAGAAGAAAGAAAGAAACTGGATATTCAAAATTCCTTCAACTTGGGTAGGAAGCATAAATATTCGTGAAATGGCAACCAAGGATAAAATGACGCCAAAGCCTAGGTGGAGGAGATGGATTCAAAGTTGCTTGTCTTCACTGTGTTTGTTGGACGCTAGTTAATGGCTGACTCTATTAAGTTTCAAAATTCTATAACTTTTCAGATCTCTGAGTTAATTTCAGCACTTACAGTTGTCAGTCCCTAGAGGAATGGATGGGATGAAAGTTGGACTCACACTTCAGAAATAAACCCTTTCAAGTATAAAGGATGGGAAATTGGCTAACTTTCATGAAATCAGCTCTAGAATGTGGTTGTGCTGTATTAGATGAATAGTCCAGCTACAATTTTGGAGCATTTTCACACCCCATGTGAGATTTTGTTAAAATATAGGAGTGAGATCTATTAATTTTATGGAGGTCAGCCTTTTCTGCTCTTATACGAGTGATTTGCAAGGGGGGGAATTTCAATATGTAGTAGCTTCTCTTCACAGAAGAAAGTAATTAAAACAATCACCCATCTGGCCCCACTCAATTGAGAATATCTCTTAAGCATATGTACTACACATTTGAAACATTGTTGGTCTTCTATGATTCTAACCCAATAACTTCTTTTGTTTCTAGTTTAGCCTAGTATTCATTATAAAATTATAAATTAATACTAGTGAGAAGGAAGAGATCATAGGCAACAGTACAACATGAGAATACTAAAAGAATTAATCTACATACCCGCTTATCAGCTCGGATAGTAACATATGCTCGATCAAGGGTGCAAAGGTCTCCAGTCTCCTCCAGGAGTTTCAAATAAAATAGCAAGTACTTCCTTATGCAAGTTATAAATTTCCTAGAACTTTCTGGCAAGTTAACTTCAAGGACCTTTTTGCTCCCAGCAACAGCAGGTGCTTTTCGTCTGATACCAAAGACAAGACAGGTAAAGCCCCTTTAAATGCTTTTACAGTCTATAGAATACCCACAAACTTTTCATGAAGTCCTAAAATAGTAAATTGGGCCACATATGCTAATATTTTTGCCCCACGGAAATGAAAGGCATCATCAAGATTAAGGAGGAAAGGTAATTTAATACAGAATGGGTGGAGTTTAAACCTTCCTTTTTTTGCAGAACTATCAATCTCCCACATGTTAATTGTAAAGGAAGAGCGTGATGACTTGAAGCAGAAAGACATCTCATCCTTTGCCTTCTGAAGATCCCCAATTCCACCTCTTTTGTAAAATCCTTGAGCAAGCATGTATCTAGCTTTGTGATAATGCTTAAGATCCCCTTCCACACAAATCTCAAGTGCAGAAAGGCAATCATTGTACAGCATGCGCCAGGGTTCATCCAATTGATGAACTTTCTCAAGGTTAGGGCCATCATGACCAGATAGGATATCCTCCTTCCTATCAATTTCTACTTTATCAAGAATATTCATTACTTTCTCTTTGGTGGTCTGATTGAAGGAATAATCTGCAAAAACCTAGATCAAATAGAGCAAAGTCAATTTGCAGAGACTTCAAAAGAAAATTCCAGAAACTGTCCAGTGAAGGCTGAAAAGACACCTGAGCCAGCAAATCGAGCTTAACAGTATTCCTTAAAGATGCCATGCAAGTGCAAAGACTTTGAGGAAACATGGCATGATAAAGTCAAGCCTTACAAAATCAAATAATCACTATATACAGAAAGTTCTAGTTTATCAGGTAAACTTTTTAAAGACTGATGATTATTTTAGGATGGAAAGAGCAAGATGGTCGCACTGCTAGCACTCTAGCAGATTAAGAAAATAGCTTCTGAATATATCCTTCTGGTAAAAACATTCCTTTCCATGCCCAAACATAGAATTGGTTGAAAAAATAAATAACAGTTCTATATAAGATAAATGAGATACCACCTTAAGATTTTCAACATTTGTCCTCTGACATGTGTGAAGTAATTTCAAGCGAGAAGCATGCATCCTATAAATCGCATCAACTGCTGATGGGTTTATAACAATAGCCTTGTCATAATATGAGAGTGATAGCTCTGGGGAACATTCCAGCTTTTGACAAATTTTCCCCAAATAAAATGCATGTGACCAATCCTGCCTAAGACCACAAATTAAAACCCATAAAACTTAGAACCAATTCCAATATTAATAAAACAGGGTATACATGATGAGGAACAAAAAGACCAGAAGGTACCTGTGTGCAAAAGCCTTCTCAAAATGTTTCTTTGCATTTTTACAAAACATCATCCAAGTTGCATCTTTACTTGGCGCAACAGATCTTTGATCATAAAATGGTACTACATTCTGAAGACCATCAAAATACACCAGTGCCAACATCTCGTGTATCTCACTCTGTAGTTTACATCGGAAGAATAGCAAAATATAAGAAAGTCAGACCTTGTAGGGTGCCAGTACCTTTAGAAAAAATTGAAAAATAAAACAAAAGAAGAAACTTCCCCCAACCCTCTCCACCCCCCCCCCCCTACACCCTCCAATTGGATTGAGCGATAATTAGTTGATACTCAAATGGAAAAATATGGGTACTACTACAATACTAGTAGCTGATAAACTCTTACACTTCAACGTCCCAACCTTTACACTTTTGTTTTGAGGCAAGAACTCAATACATCTTGGTCAATACAAGGAAGTAAGATGGTTGTCAGCTTGAGAAGCTTATCCACAAGGTCAAAGCCATGGCGAAGAAGGCATATTACCTGTTGTTCTGAAGTCTTAGCCAAAGCCAAACTCATTAATAGGCACCGTCGGCTCCTCCTCCTACTTGTCTCCACTCTTTGAGGCAATGAAGCATTCTTTCTCCATCCAGTTACATTTATATTCTTGCTCCCATCATTTAGCAATAAATCTACCTCCTGTTTCACCAAAGAGAGACTTACCTTCAATATATAGCAGAAAATACCCTCTCATTATTCTAATTTAACATTTGCTCATAGAATTAACAGGGGTTAAAAAAAACTTGTTAAAGAAGGCTTCGGTGGTTTTGACAATAAAATAGATCTGTCTTACCTCATCATAAACATTGGCAAGACGCTGCCAACTCTCAAAGCGCAAAGGATTAAACAATAAATCATACTTGGAAACATTAGCGTTCTGCTGAACATAGTCCTCCCCTTCCTTGGTGAGAACAAAGCCAGGCCATTTATCAGTAGCACTTGCTTCCTCAGACTGAGCCAAAAGATAGTACAGGTCACTATAAACCTCCATATAAGGCTCGCAGCTGTAGTCATAACATCAATAGTAACGATTTATTGAAGAAGAAAGCAAGAGAATAAATTCAAGTAGCAATGCAATTAATTTACCTTCTAACTGAAATCTTTTTCTGGTTGAGGATTCCTGTATCAAGAAATATAGCTTTGACTATTGATTCGAGAAATTCATCAGATCCTGCTACCTCTGAGAGTTTATCTTCACAGAGATTTGGATCATCTAAATATTTATCAATAGGATTTCCAGCAAGAACATCATCTGGTGGCTGAGGAAAATGTTTGCGTATGGCTCTCAGCACTCTTCGGAGCTTGAGCAGCCCTGTTTTCTGAAATGAATGATATTGCAAGTTGCAACAACAAACATAGAAAAAAGAGTTAAAGAGTAGTGATAATAAGTACGCATATGGGCTATTATTTTAAAGCATACAGAGGGATTAAGAAAGAAACTAACAGTTGAAGCCTTCGCATATGGCAGTATATATTTGAACACATCAGCACACTGCTCTTTGGACTGATAGTCTGCCTGACTAGTGTTTCTATGCACCGCCAAATCATCCTCAAAGCCTGATTCAGAACGGAGATTTAGACCATAAAGACAGAAAAAGCACTGATTCAAGGCATTATCAATTGCTGATTCAAGTTCTTCTTTTTCATCTTCAGAAAGTTCAGACCCAGAAGGAGAATCCGGCTTGCTTTGTTCTTCCCCATTGCTCAATTTGTTGATTGGAACATCCTCTATGCCATTTCCCTGTTCGCTTTCAGCAGAGGAATAAGTATCAGGAACTATTAATTCATTAGGTCCTGTAAAGACTTCCTTAGGTGGACTAATTCCTGCACTTGGCTCATCCGCAGACATCCTTGCATCATCATGAGATCCATTGGATTCTTTGCTCAAAGAATGGTGACTAGACTTAAGTTTTATAGCCAACAAATGCTTAATAGCAAGTTTAAGAAATGTTCCATCCACCCCTTCGCCATCTTCACCAACACAACACAACCCATACTCGGCAAGCACATCATGGATTGTTAAAATTAAATCAACCTGATACAAGATGGGTAAAGAACATTGAAGAATTTGCAAAATTGCATGAACCTTAGAAAAATGATCTGGAGAAAGACTTGACACAGATTACTCACTTGAGTTTTAATGGGGATTGTCAGATCCAGGTGTTGAAGCTTGCAGAATGCAATTGCTGCATTGACAAAGAAACATTTTCGCTTCAATTCTCCATGATCTGGACTCGAGACGCCAGAAGGTTTCTTGCAAAAGCTCATTCTTGCAATGTTGCACATCAGTGCCAACAACAAAGCCTGAATATCAGCAATACTGCTTGGGATATTGATATCCCTCTGTAACAATAAATTCAGATATGAGTAGCTGTAAAAGTAACCTTCAAAGCTAGTAGAAGCATGCACATACAAAAATGGTTGGACATTGCATAGTTAAAGCTTGCGAAAGGTAAACATCAAATTTGTCATTGGAATTTGAGGTATCTTAAGGTTTATTAGAAAAAAGTTGTCTTGTGAACCAATGCAAGCGATAATTAATTTGGTCTACGAGTATAATTCCTTTATACACAACTAATTTAGTAATAATGTGCCTGCTACCATTTGACATGCCAGGGAGAAATGAAAAAGTTTATTATTTTTGTTTTTTAGTCAACATGCACAACAAATTCAACGCCCAATGAACCACATACCCTTTCACAACAAGAAAGCAAACAAATATCTTTGAATGGTACTTATTCTAAATAAAACTCCAGGTGGTTAATTAATAAAAAGTTCAGAACAGCGTTTACGTAATTGATTGATTAAAAATTTCAGCATCACATTGTTCTATGAAAAAGTATACTGTATAGCCCAGAAGGTAACTTGCTAGAACCACACCAAACTACAAACCATCAATATCAGATTAGCTTTCCATAATATCCTTCTTCATCCATTTTATAAGTCACGGTAACCTAAATCTCTTCCCACTTGCCAATACACAAGTTGATGGTGTGTATGCATATGAGGATTTCTTAAAACTCATCCCAAAACCTAAAAGGATTAGGTTATTCTTCCTTTTTTGGTTTGGGTGTGTCGAGTGTGTGTGTGTGTGTGGGAGAAGAGGGGAAGGGGGGAGGTTGACAGGAAGAGCAAGTATACAATACTCGGTCAACAGCAGCACAAAAACTGACTTTGCAAACTATATAAATTATCTGGAAGTCTGACACCGATATCAACTCCCACCAAATGCACTTAGCTGCAAAATACTACTATGAAGTAGAAACACGTTATGTATTATAGATGGCTTCTTACAATATCTCTAATGTGAAAAGCATTTAGAAAGACCTTTTCTTGAACAGAAAATTTTAAGAATTATGATTCTGGGATGGTGTAAACTTGCCTCCAGCGCGGCAGCGCCAAAGCAACATATATATAATTTCCGAAAAAATCACTTGTTAAAAAATTCTAATGCTTGTGTAGTTGTGTTAGGACATGATGTTTTATAGAGATTTTGGACATCTTAGCACTATATACTCAGGTTCCTTCAAGATATCTGTGTTTTAGAATTGTTTTAGAATGACATAATACTCTCTTTATGCTTATATCTTTCCACAGAGGTATTTGTTACAAATTCTTTAATAATGATGTCCTCTCCAATAAATTATGCATAGATAAGGATGTAAATCAAAAGAGACCCTCTAATCTTTTGCTCCCAACAAAATTATTCCAACTTTCTTTTTTTTTTTTTTTGCTTGGTGTGACTGAACACGAAGGAAAAGTAAGGCAAAGAAATGTCAGCATTTAATAAGGATAAAGTCATTACCAGATCTCTGTGTTGATCAATAAAACTCTTCACCTGAGATGCACATTCTGAAATTGCCTTGACTTGCTCTGCAATTGAATCAAAATAGTTGTTTGATAAAGTATCTTTTGATTCTGTTCCATAAGACATTACTTTTCGAGCCGTCTTCTCACAAGATAGATCACATGAGGCTACAAAGTCTTCCATCCCAGCTGCAACCATGAGCAATTGGAGTTTGCGTTTCTGACAATTAAGGTATACCTCCACATTCAGAGGATTGACCTTTTCACAGGCTTTGATCAAAACATCTAATGCTGATAGTTCACTAGTGGTAACTCCCTCATATTTATCAGTTGCAGGTGCAACATCCACATCAACACCTTTTGTGGACAGCAAAAGTGGAGCAAGCAAGGCTATGCATTCCATATACAATTCTTTCTCAAGCATTTCAGCAACATCATTCTTCAGCAGAAACTGAACTTCTAACAGATTGATTTCATGTAGTATTTTATCAGTAGTCAACTCTTTATTAACCTTGCAGTGAGGCAATTGAACAGAAACAGGTATATCATTCAAGTTTCTGTTGTTTTCCAAAAGGGATAAAGAAGTTGAAAACTCTTCATGAGCCCTCAATCTATTACCTTCCCAGATCGACACAAGACCGCTTAACCAATAAAATCGTACCCAAAAAGAACTTTTCTCAGTCAAAATGCGTGCATGCACTGATGATTTTGGCCGTTGAGGACAGTCAAAGGAACCTTGAACACAGTCTTCTGTAGTCTCACCATCCTTAGAGCAAACTTTACCCCAATTAACACCTAAATCCACAGGCCATTCCAGAGCAACTGATTCTACAATTTTTGATAGATGGAAGGATGCCTCGTGCATAAACTCAGACATTTTAGATGATGTGGGTGAACATGATCCCAGATCATGATATAACTCAGCGAGAAAGAGACTGCATTCAGGCGTTCTATCACATCCCCAAAGCCTCGTCAATTTTTCCATCTCTAAAAATTTCATAAATGCATCACGATTTAAAGGTTCTCTTTTTGCAACCTCTTCCAAAAGCAAATGTCCCAAGTGATGAGCCCCATAATTTTTTGAAGTTTCAATCACAAAATTTTGTACATCTTGCCATTCATTCTCCAGAGAATGAATTGAAGAGTAATCCAAATCCTTAATCTGATGTCCACTTATGATGAAAGGTTGTAAAGAATGAATTACAACTTTCTCCATGTCTTTATTCCCAGAGAATTCTGCATCTTCCTTTCCTGTTTTCTGACTCCTAAGGCTTACCAAACGAGTGCTTCGTCTTTCAAATATTTGTTCTTCAGAATAATGCAATTCTTTTTTATCAGTAATATTTTCCTCTCTTGTATCACACTCACCATTTGAGATGTTTTGAGAAGAAGACGCAAAAGGCATTTCAGCATCTTCCTGCTTTGAAGGTAAGCAGATTGCTATTCTCATATTTCCAGACAAATTAGAATTTTCAACTGCTGTCTCAGAATTTGATCCATCAAGTGAATTCAAGAGTCCCAAGACAATATCCGCAAGAGCTGTCCACGAGAGTTCTTTTAACTGTAATTCAATCATCTGGTTCAACCTCTTCGGCACATTGTCCATGTCCAGATCACTGTTGGATGCTTTTCTCTTGTCAACAAATTTAAGTCTGGCATGCTCTGGTTCCAGCTTATCAATGCCTCTTGGAGCAAAAGGTATTGGTTCTGACTCTTCGATAGTTATCTTGACGTGTGAAGCTCGAGCATGCGATGGCCAATGGCGCAAAATTAATTCTGCAACAGCAAGGCTTGCAACTTCATCTCCGATAGCAATAAGCACCTCTAAAAGTTTCTCCATGCAATTCCCTGAATACACCATCAAAAAGACACAATAACGCTTCTTTCTTGAAAAAATAGAAAAGGCAGAAGTACTTGTAGAAGCAGCAAACCAGTTCAATTAATAGCATGTATCAGTAAAGAGCATCAGCTATAAAAGGGACCGAGTAGTGTTTACAATTGTTAGGACTGCAAACAAGCCCTTGCTCAAATGCCCAACGAGATATACTCAATAAACCCATGGAACAAGCCAGTGTACCCAGCTGATTCCAGACAACAGAATCTTTAGTATCAATTTCCACTGCTTGCAGATAACAGTGCAATGCACTTTCATAATGTGCAGAACCTTGTTGCAAGAAAACAGTAGCAAGGTTCTTCAGGGCCAAAAACCTGTCAGAAATGAGATTTGAAAAAAATTAATTAGAAAATGAATAAAAAAAAATAAGATTAAAAAATGAATCAATATGCATATATCTCATGGAACTGCAAAATGACTGGCCGGATGACATTAATCAGTAAATAAAAGCACTACATTGCTGCAGATATCTATTACTCAAAAAAAAAAAAATTTTAAGGTATTTTATAAAAGTGGAGGATTGTATCATCATAAAATGCTTATCTTACATTTATCACTTAATGCCTTGTTCTCCTCAGATTTTTTTTGCTTTAAAAAAATCATTAAAAAAAACGTAAATTTTCTGAACTAACTTATTTTTACGCAAAATAGAAATATATTATATTAGAGCGATTTTAAACGCTCAAGCAAAAGCAAAGCATAATGGCGCAAGTGTAGCAACCATTTCCTGCTTTGAAAGATAGGAAACATAAAAACAGATAAAAGAGCTAAAGGATAAGATAAGTTTGTAATAGCTACATAGACAAAAGACATCCTGTGTGTATCAATCTGAGTACAGGAAGCAGCTCATCAAAGAGGTTAAGCTGCAGTATGGTGCCTTGGGATCTCATTTGCATAAGCTTCAAAGACTTCAGCAGGGGGGTAGAAATAAGTCTCCTTATCTCCTTTCTTCACCACAGTGGCACAGTTCTGCCACAGTTCTGAACTTACTTTTTCTGATCTTGACTTATTTTTACAGGACTTATTTTTATTTTTGAAAAAAAACTCATTTTTGCAACAACTTTATTAATAAGTTGAGGAGAACATATCCTAAATCCATCATTATTTTGTCAAAATACAGAGTTATGCATCTCTCATCAACAGATTGAGAATAGCAGAATTACATGATGACGAGTTGACGACCACTTAATTCATATGGCTGAACGCCTGAACCTAAAAATTATTTTTGATGTATGAGCACAAGCTTAAATTCCATGAATATCAATCTTTTGCAGCATGTCTAATACTGCTTAGGATTAAAAATTAGGTACATTGAGACCTCTCTAGCTCCCAATGCCATATTTTATAACAATTACCCTGTAGTTAGCATTTCACTCTATTGACAGATAGCCTTAATCAATTACAGATTTAGCATTTCTAAGTATATTACCTATAACTCTGTCAGAGTGTCAGACATGCCGCAAGAAATTAGGGGTTGTTTTGATTCAGCATTTTCTGAATCAAGAATAATATTGCAAAGAGATGGTTCCCTTCGATTATCTTTTGATTTTACTTTATTTGCATTCTCCCTCCCCTTTATAAATAATCAGCCCCACCAAGCATTACAAACATTGATTATAATCCCCACTATGGGGTTAAGTTTCCCTTTCTGGGCAAGATAAAAAGTGAAAATCAAAATAAGAAGAAAAGCTAATCCTTGCTATCATTGCTTCCATGAAACTATAAATGACCATGTAATCATGTATAGGGGAGATGCAGTGGACAATACGTCAAATATCTCAATGTAGCCATGATATTCAAACCAACAAACCAACAATGGTCTACTGGCCAAGGTCTGAATTGTGATAGCTCACTGTATAATTAAAAAAAGCCAGTCTCAAATGCCCCCAACACAACTTCTGAGTTCTGATGCACCAGGACACCATAAATGAAGATGGGCCAAGGGGCTCAATGAAGGAATTCCATCTTGAATGCGGTCATGATGGCAACATGGTAGCAAAACCACTATTGCAAGCAATGTGGATAATTGTCCCCGCAGTCTCAATCAAATACATAGTATCAGGGGCCATAGTAGGTTCAAAAACCTTAGAATGTGGTGATGCACCCAGGAACAAACCCTAGCACTTATCTATTTAAAACTTCTTCAGGAAACCAGGGGAGGAAAGATGGTGTGAAAAACTAAGTTAGTGAAGTACACAAACGCATAAGCCACAAATCAGGTCACAAACTGTAATTCTTGCTTAATAAAGATTACCTGTTAACCACAGTGAAAAAGGATTGACACTAATGAAGGTATATTGGTAGGAGGAAGAGAGAGGTTCAGACAGACAGTCAGACATTAAGAGAGTTACATACAATTAACAGTTTTTACATTATTTTGATCTATGGGTCCAGAATATGGATCTTGTCCATACCTAGTTGAATTTTTTAGTTAGCTCCAGATCAATGAAGAAATGGGGAAATTAATTTCCAATAATTTTATACCAAACTTAAAGCCTATGCAAGAACTAAACTTATTTATATATACAGCACAAAACTTCGGGGAAAGGTGACTGCAAATTTTATAATTACTGCTGGTGTCTGGTAACTGTTAAAAAAATATGATGCTTCAAGGTCTAGAACCATAGTTGCATGGGAATGGTAAAGTCTTGCATGATTACCACAAGCACTCTTTACAAGTCACGACCTTTAGCGAAGATGGATGTATATGAGATAAACGATACAAATTTATAATATGAAATAAAGTTAATTGTAACCAACAACTGTTCAATAGAATATAAGAGGATGTGATACAGTTTATTTAAAATGTAGCTAGGTCATACAGTCAGTTTATAGTCATGAAGAAAACCGTACACACCTAGAGGAAAAGGGAAAAAAAAAAGAAGGGAAATATACGAAGGCAATGATTAGTTGATTACTCTAGGAAGATATGGATCTAAAATGAATTGGAAAATGTCCAAAGCATAAACACATTCACGCAAAGAGATATTGTGTGCAGTATATTAAGGGGTTGCAACAGCTTACTTGAGTTGTAAGAGATGGCCATCACTTGCAGTACTCTCCACCTAAAGATAAAAATGATCTCATGATTCCTCATCCAAGCTTATAAGGAAGCTATACTTAGATCAAAATATGTGAGTGAAGAATCACCTGAGTAGTAGACACCAGAGGATCTTTGACAACAGCTTCCAGATATTCACGTGCCTTTTTATAGTCTTTAGCTTGCAACTTCAAGAGTCCATCGTGATAAGTTTGCGTAAGGTGGAACTCCTGTACCGAACAGAATCATGAGAGTGAATTTTATTGGAAAAAGGATGTCTACTATGGTCAGAATTCAAGAACACAAGGAGCTAGCTTAACATAAGGAGATTTAGAATCAAAATATAACTAAGCCAGCAGGAATAACAACTATAAATCAGCACCAAATCCTTAGGTCCTCACATTAAAAACTAACAAGTTAAGGAAAATGGTATCCTCTCCCCGATCACAATTTCATTTTTTTTCTTTTGAAAACTCATTTCATCCAAAATCCTATGCGTACCAATTAATCATCAGTGAAATCCCCTCTTATAATTGAGATAACTCACATAACTAAAGTAATTAACAGCATACAACTTCAATAATCAGCCCAATGCCCTTTACAACGATATCATATCAGCACAACGCCCTTTACAATAATATCATACCAGCTTATCTTAAGTCACATTGTCAGCCAAATTAGGGTTTCATCAGAAAAGTTCCAAAATGCATCAGACCCAAAACAACCTAAACTGCCACAGGCGAAAACACGAGTCCCCCTGAACCTTACAAGAAAATCTTCACCGACAACATATGACAATTTACCAATCAACCAGATAGCTATTATAGTATCAATCACAGAACTCAGAGCAGAATTCAAATATCAAACACAAAATACAAGCAATGCCCCTCACAAATATCTCAAACATGATCAAATGAAAAAACCCAAAAATTTATACAGCATAACATATACTCGTAGAAATCAGTACAAAAGGGCGGCATAAATTTATAGAATTGAATAAGCCCATATCATAAAAAGTAATTTTAAAAACCCAGAAAAGGGTACCTGAGCTTCTTTGGTAGGAGCTAATGGTTCCCACTGGTTCTTCGAATCAGTATCATTAATGGCGGAAATTGCAAACTGCAATAAAAGGGTAATCAACAAAAACACTAAATTTCAGCAAAAAATTGATTTCAAGCCCAAATTATGATTCAGTCGATAAATTAACATGAACAAAGAATGATGACAAAAATACTAATATATGAATCAAATTACCATTGTTCCTGATGTTGTGTGATTTTAGGGTTTATAGAAATTGGAGAGCCATAGTTGGAATTTGGGGATTGCAGAATTTGTTCGTAAATTTATTTCTGGAGTGAAGAGAATTTTAGGCGCGGAATTGAGTGCGCAAAAGAGTTGAGAACTGGGAACTTGGTATTTTTGGCAACTGAAGTATTCGTCCGAAATATTACGGTGTTCGTCTTTTTTAGGAGTCGAGAAATTAGAGAAACAAAAAAAAGATAGAGTAGACTAGTGATCGAATATTATTTACCTTTAACATTATGCATTTTTATTAGAAACTTATTGCCAAAATATAATCCAATAAAGAATGTCTTTGTGTCGGTATGTGTGAAATATACGTATTAGTATATTTTGTACTACCTCCGGTCCATTTTAGTTGCAACTTTGGGGGTCATTGTGGAGGTCGAGGCAAAACTTTTAAGGGGTTGATTAAAGTAAGGGTAAGTGATTAGGGGAGTAATATGGAAGGAATTTTTGTGGTCCCATAATTTGACTTTTTGGACCACTTTAAATTTCTGATTTTTAGTGGAAATTTCCCACCAATATATTCTCGCAGCATACACACATGTGGAAAAAAAATTTCCCACTTTGTTTCCCTCCCAAATTTTCACCCAAAATTCGAAAATTTTCAATTATCCCCCAAAATTCAAATTTTTCATAATCATTCAAACAAAATGCCCCTTATAAAAGGAGGGCATCCTTTCCAAAACCCCTTATCAAAGAACTGTTTTAGGGGAATTTGGGAGGGGTTGGGGGGTAGCATAGTTAAGTTAGGTTACAGCAGAAACAATGTTTAGTTAATTCAAAATACAGGCAGCCCTATTGTAGACACCCATTTGTGTCTCCCCAAAACCAAACCCAGTTATGAGTACCTTTCACGTCGAATCATAATCGAATGAAGAGAAAGTGTGGAAAGTCTAGTGTTGCGGATAGTTTTAATTCCTTTTCTCTTCTCTCTGTTTTTGAAAACTTATTTTAAGAAAACAACCAATCCAGTTTGGTTGGTCCATGATATGGGTCCAATAGTAGTGTATTTGGATGGGGTTTGACAAAAGCTTTCCAACGATATATTATAAGCCCAATTCCGATGAATATTGAGGAAGTTATGGCCAATTTACTAAACTGGGCCCGGTTTGAGCATTATGCGGCCCAATGATCTAGGGGAGAGTCTAATATGATTTATCATTCCTAATGCAATTAGGAATGGTTTTAGTCTTCTAGATTCTTCTATAAGGTTCTTTTCATTCCTAATTCAATTAGCATTGATAAATTGATTTTTGTTGACTTTTCAGAGTTTTAATTAAAATCAAAGAGCATTTTTGAGGAAAATATACGATTTTATCCTGCTGTACGGCAAACTTATCTGATTTTCGAAAACACGTCAAAAACAGGTCTGGCGCCTGACACCAGGCATTGGCGCCTGGATCTAGGCCTGGCGCCAGCCATTGGCGCCTGGCGCCAATTAGCCAGGGTTGGCGCCAGCTCTGTTTCACGTGCGCCAGACTCTGTTTTGTTAATTTTATCTTTTTGGCTGATTTTCTCTATAAATAACGTATTAAAAACTCCGTTTTCATTCATCAACAATCAGTTTTAATTAATATTCACCTACAATCAGTTTTCATTCGCAATCATTAATTCTCTAATTCTCTCTTAATTCATTCATCTCTCTTTCTTTCTTTCTCTTTTTCTAAACCTTGCTTTTTAAATACAAAATTCCGCATTCGCAAGATCTAGAAACATCTAGCCATATTCAAAGTTGCCTTCGCCCTAGATGTGAAAGGTTTAATTTCTAAGGGTTTGGTCCCAAATCTCTATTTCAATTATTTAATTTAATTGTTTGATTATTATTTTCCTTGAAGTTACTAACGTGTGTAATTTGTTATTAGAAAGAGGTACGAGGCATCAAAGTAAGTACTTTAATGGTTTTTATTGATGTTATAATCATGCTTAAATTGTTATTATGATATTCCTAGTATCATGTCTAGGGTAATTTTAATATCAAATATGATTGTTACGATGCTTCCTATTTTCTTCCTAATATTTATGATTGTTAGTATTATGTTAGGGTTAAAGATTTGATTTTTATTGCTTAGTGACATGCTAGGTGTTTAGGGTAAAATACCCTAGACACGTGGACCAATGAGAGGAAGCCACGTGTCGAGCTCAGGATGGCCCACGCGGCTAAACATCCTCTTGACACTTGGCGTCCTCAGATACATTTCTGAAATGGCGGCCTTCAAAGGCCCAAATCCCTAGAAGCGCCGTTTTACGGCGCAGCCCACCGAAAGTTAGGTCAAGTGACCTAACTAGGGGCACGCTCTCCAAGGACCCTATAAATAGGGAGATATTTCTCCACTTTGGGGGACACATTGAATCATTTATTACACCTGCATTCTCTCACATCAGAGAAAGACCTGAGCTTGGAATTCGAGCAGATACCCACCTAAATCTCCGTTCTCTCTATTCTCGTTCAAGTTACTAACTTGTGCGTCGGAGGCGGAGCACCACCCAACCGGTGTCTCCATTATTTTGCAGGTACAGCTCCTCCGGATCAGGCTTCGTGACGTAACTCTCCCAAGGGACAAAAACACCCAAAACATCTGGCGCCGTCTGTGGGGAGAGTACCTCGAAGATGGTTCAAGAGTCTGCACCACCACCCCCTAACCGTCTGGGCGATGACCCAGAAGTCTTTACAGACCAGGAGGATGAATATCCCCAGGTCGAAACCTTTACAGCCGAGGACGGCTCCCTCATAATCAAGCGCATCCGGCCCAGGGAGACTCTGGAGCGGGGTGCCTCCCAGGCGGGTGCAAGCCGACCCCCTGGGCAGCCGGAAGGGAAAACCCATACGGCCACAGGATCAGCACCTGTCACCCGAGACGAACTCATGAGGTTCATGACAAGTTTCAAGGGTGAAATTAAAGAGCTGATCACCCAGAGCCGGGCTGGCCCGAGTAGAGGTCAGTCGGCCAAGAAGGCTCCTCTGGACAAGGGGAAGTCAGTCAAAGATCGCCAGCCAACTCCCCATCCAAAGGAGAAGGCAGCCGGGACCATTGATTGGTCCAAGATTCTTCTTCCTAAGAGGAATACCAATAACACCCGCCGGACTCAACAACCGGTGGGAAGTACAAAATCATCTCTTGATGCCCGGGAGATTATCAACCGGAAGAGAAATCAACAGTTGTCTGAATCGGCTTCTACGTCGAATTTTCCAAACAGCTTTAACAATACCTCTGCGGGGAATGCAACTTCCCTGCATGAGAGTCAGACAGGCGGTAATACCGTCCACTCTGGCCCTCAGATGATTGGGGCTGCTCCATATGTACCTTCTCAGGTCTATGGTCAGTACCCTCCTTACTATATGTAGTCGGCTCTCTTCGGAGGTCAGGCGGCATATCACAATGTCCAGCCACTGGACTGCAGCTTCGTCTACTCCGCCTGGGTGAGCAACCTTCTGCGTTCACGCGGGAGATAACCGAGGCGGCACAGCCGGCCAAGGTTAAGAATGTATTGGTTGATACTTATGATGGTACCACCAATCCGGAAGACCACCTCATGGCTTACACCAACCTCATGTATCTGCAGGGGTTGGATGATGCCACTTGGTGTCGTTGCTTCCCGGCTACATTGAAGGGCATTGCCCAACAATAGTTTGGTAATCTGCCAGCCGGGTGCATCGATAGTTTTAGGAATCTTGCCTTCCTATTTGCTTCCAACTTCTCAATGAACATCCCTGCTAAGAAAACAAGCTTGGACTTGAGCACCATTAAGCAGGGGGAGAGAGAAGGGTTGCGCTCCTATGTCAGGCGGTTCAATCTGATTAGAATTCAGATTCAAGGACTGTCTGATGAGGTAGCTTTTACAGACTTCTTCAAAGGTCTGAGAGACGGGTCGACTTTTAAGTTCGACCTAGTCAGAAAAGGGGCTTTCACCTTACAGGCGGCTTTGAGGGAGGCGGAAAGCTACATTCAAGCTACTGACCTCTGCTCGCCTAGTAACCAGTCGGACTCCAAGAAGTCCGACAAGCAGAAAGACAGCCGGCCTGCCCAGCCGGCCAAAAAGAAAGAAGAGAGCAAGAAGAGAAAAGAAATCTGGGCGGTTAGTGATTCTGACCAGCCGTCCCAGAAGAAGAAGAAAGAGTTTAAACCGTATGTCCCCAAGTACAAGTTTAACAAGGACAACAATTCCATCCTCATGGAAATTAAGGACCGGCTGTCCCTAGAGAAGCCGAATCCAATGAAAAGTTTCATTCAATCAAGGAACAAAAATAAATTCTGCCAATACCATGAGGAAGTTGGCCATGACACCAACGACTGCTTCAGCCTTCAACGGGCGTTGGACCGTCTGGCTGACAAGGGAATGTTGAAGTCCTACATTTCTAAGTCCCCAGCCGGGGCAAAGAAGAAAAATAAGGGGTCAGTCCTCCAAGACTACCCCCCAGCCTGCTAGTAGCTCGGATACCGACAAGGAGCCAGTCTACACAATAGCAGGCGGGTTCTCATGTGGTGGCCCTACCATTCGGGGCACCAAGAGCCATCTTCGAAAGATGGACAAAGATGATGATGGGCAGGCGTCTGCAAGCTCCTCCTTCCCTGATGTTCTGATCACCGAGAAGGATGGGGGCAGTGTTCGTCGCCCACATGATGACCCGGTCGTCCTTGAATGTAAGGTTGCCAACCAATTGGTTGGACGAATCCTTATTGACACCGGCAGCTCATAAGACATCATCAGTCTCCGGTGCTTGCAGAAGCTGAAATACAATGCCAGCAACTTGCATCCGGTTACCCACCCCTTAGTTGGCTTTGGGGGTGGAATGGTTTACCCAGTCGGAAGGGTTGATCTACCCATCCGGCTGGGTGAGAAAGGAAAAGGGCGACACCTGGTCGTCAAGTTTTTGGTCGTTGAGGAGTTGACCGCCTACAACATTATCTTGGGCCGGCCAACCTTCAACGAATCCAAGGCTCTAATCATCCCTTCCCTCATGCTTATTAAGTATGAGAGGGATGACGACTCTGTTGGTTCCTTGAATGGGGATCACAAGACGGCCCGGGAGTGTTATCTCTCAGCCGTCAAAGATACCGTGGCCCAAGACGGCCAGGAACCAATAGACCTTGACAATATCAAGGATGATGATCCAGTACCAGCCCCACCAGCAGCCGGGAAGAAAAGAAAGGCACCTATGCTGGTGGAGGTGAAG